CATGAGCACACAAAGCTGGCTTAGCAGACAGCACGGACCTGACTGGGGTGGTTGAGATTTATGCTTTAGATGCTTTGAATTTCCAGGGCTCAATAGCACGGCATGCTTGGCTGCTTTGCAGGGCACTGCTGGCCCTGCAGGGAAGGAGGGCAGGGCTGAGCCACTTCTGGAGGAGCACTTCTGCAAATGGGTGATTCCAGCAGCCCCTCCTGAAAACTTTCTTTGCTCCTTTATTTTTTCACTTCAAAGCCAAGCGTAAGAGCTCCCTCTGCTGCCATAAGGGCTTAGACCAAAGATGAACTGAGTGTGAGACTGAACGGACTCCAAAGGAGGGTGCTGCTCCTGATGTCACCTGGAGCTGCCCTTAAACACGAGACACAAGGGTTTTACCCAGGAAATCACCCAGGGTGGTTTAACGATACCCCTGGGCTGCCCAGTCCTCCAGCACTCTGTACCTCACTGCAAACAGAAAACACACCAGGATGGTACAGGAGCCATGCTTTCCTCCTGCTCTGCTGATGCTGCTCTTGCAGCAGCTGGGAGCTGTGGGATTCTGCTATCCTACTTACAGCAACCCGGCGTGGCTGGCAGTGCTCAGTGTCAAAGGCACCACGTTCCATGTGCAATGCCAACATCCCCCAGGTCTTATTCAAACTGGAATACTTGCAGTCTGGGGTCAGATGATAAGCGTGGGGGTTCCACAGGTGAAGAGGAGCTGCAGGTGAAGTCACACAGTCTGCACAGGAAGCAGTGAGTAACAGCCTCACAGCTCGAGTTGCTGAAGGTCTGGAAACACAACAGCAGACAGGAGCAAAGAGAACGTCCTGTGGCAGAAGAGCTGTGACTCATTTACTCCAGAGGTTACTATGGAGTTGTTTACACATTTCTTTGTGATTAAAAAAAATAAAAATATCTAAAGACTCACCCAAAATGAACTACGTAGAAAGAGGTGTGAGCGAGAGAACACAAATAGCAATAACTCACAGGACCAGGCAGGTTTCCTCTAGGAGCACAAGAGGTTCAGGTACGAGCCCACTGAGCCACAGAGCCCTGGACAAACGCTGCCTGTCCTGCTGCAGCCAGGTGGGAGGCAGCAAGGGCAATCCGAGCTGGGTTTGGATTTTTAGAAAGGATCTGGGAGGAATAAGAGGAATAACCAACCAGAAAATCAAACTCTTTCACTGAACAAATTGCTCAGACTCCTGGAGAGCAGAATTCAGAGAGATAAGAGGCAGCTGGAGAGCATTCTTGGGGCTTTGCCAAGGGATGTCCCACCTGGAAAATAATGGAGCTGTGTGGAATGTATAGCAAGCAGCTGGGGGACGAGGTGATCTGGCATTTATAGCCATTAATTGGAGCTTATAAATTAACAGCATGTGGCAGAATCCAGAACAACGGATGGAATTAAAATGAGAGGTTTTGTACCAGGAGAAGGGATTTCATGGGAACACATCATTTCTTTACAATTTCCATTAAGAGGGAGCGATGCCAGGAACTTCTGGGACAAGTTCATTGCTATTAAACACAAAGATGCAGTCACAGCCTTTGAGATCTTGTCCCACCAACTGCCAGACTTAGAAGCAGGTAAGCATCAGCATCATTGAGCACGGCCAGAACACGATCAGCCGCTGCCCAGGGCAATTCTGGGTGTGAGGATACGAGGAACTGGAATCACATCCAAGCAACAGTTTGCTTTCAGCACACAAAGGCAGACAACAAAGGGCCTGTGCATTCTCTGTGTATAAAAACACTGTTATCAGGAGACCAGAAATAGCATTTCCTTGCTCTCTATCCTTTGTCTGTCTTATCAGAGCAGCAGGAGGCTCTCAACTTGCTGCAGGCTGGTGGGTGGGAGGGCTGTGTGCAGGAAGGTGGGACGCCAGCTCACAAACATTCTGCTTGCACAGAACGGCAGGAGGGAAGCGAGAAATTCCTTCCTGCCAGGAGGCCTGGAAGCAGTGCTGGGCCCTGGCCAGCATCCACCCTCCTCACTCGCATCCCCGCTCCCTTTGGTCTCCCCAAAGGTCGCTCTCAATTACTCACTGCAGCTTTTTGTTTAAGAAATAGCAGTGGGATGTCCTGTCCCGTGCGAGCAGCTCTGACCACAGCCTCTGCCAAGCTACTACAATAGACATCTCCCTGCAGCCCTCTGGGCCCGGCAGGTCTCCAAGAGAACAGTGCAGGAATAGACAGACAGGCTCCAAGTGCCCACTCAGTGCAGTTTCCTCCCACATCACATCCTCTTCGCCCTTCCTTGAAGCTCTGCCCTGGGGCAGGTAGGGTGGCACACGAAAGAGGGGACGCACCAGGTGAAACAGAACTGCCAGTACAGCTTCTGTGTTTTGAGGATACATCCATCACATTGTGTTGAAGCACTGGACCACAAAAAGCACAGAAATGCAGCCACTGTTGTGGGGAGGCTACGTACCAAGGACTCAGAACGGCTCTGAGTCCTGAATGAAGAGGACTGGACTCCAAGCCCACCTTACAGCTGAACTTGCAGCAGCATATGTGTCTATTTCGGAGCAGAGAGTATTTTGTTTTCCACTATAGTTCTTGGATTCTTTTTGCTTCTGTAAGCCCTGACAGCTTAGCCACCACCCAGGCAGGGAGGTGTTAGTTAGGAGGGGCCTGCATGACACAGCTAATGCTCAAGAACACAGCTGAGCGTGGATTCCCGAGGCTTGTCTGAAAAAGCACATTCCGAGAATTTCCCTCTTCCGCTGCTACTCCCTCTTCCTCTTTCACAGGAAACTCTGGCAGAGAGCAAATAAATAATCAAACGACTATCACACCCAACTGGAGTAGTGATAAGAAATTTGGTTCTGATCCACAACAGAGAAATGTGATAAAATGCCTGCCTCTCAGAAGCCAGAAATTGATTGTTTGCCAAGAGACTAAAAATAAGCCACAGAGGGCTCTACTTAAAGGCATGCACTAATAAATGTCTCTATCCTTGATTAATCACGCTCCAATTTCCAGAAAAGCACTCTCTATTTTCCAGGAACAGTTTGTTGGGAGCTTTGGCAACAGCGGAATAAACACAAAGGCTAAAACTTGTAACACATCTCAGAACAGCTTCCTGGCAGCTGCAGGTTTGCTAGAGACAGTGTAATCCCTGGGACAGCAAGGGCAAACAGGGACTTGTTCAGCTGGAGCAGAAAGGATCTCCCTTTCTCCATGCCACAGGGGCCAGATGCTGCACTCGTGCGTCCCCACGTGGCTGCAGTAGTACCTTGGCTTCACAGCTTATTTCATCTGTTTCACTTCCATTGGTTAGAATGAAATCACCTCTTCCAGGCCAATGGGGAATAGAAATTCCAGCTGTGTGCTGGCACTGGCACACACTGCCACCTGCAGAACACACCCCAGAGCTGGGGACCTTTGGAGAGCACTCAGGAGCAGGGTGTCAGCACACCAGCCAAGTCTCACAGAAGGACCTGGCTGCGTGTGACAGCAATCCCAGCAGACTTGTGAAGAAGGTGTTTACACAGGCCGAGCTTTCCAGGACTCTTGGGGTGAAAGCAACCATGACAGAACTCCTTGTTAGCACTGTTTAACTTAACACGTAACCCACTATAAACAAGAACACTGTACATAAACAGAGCTCAGCCATGAATCATAGAAGGGACACCCGGTCTGGTTTAAACAAAGCATTATTTTAATTTCAAGATTTTATAAATATATATTTACAAAAGAAAGGTATCGATCCAAAGAGTTAAACAAATGTACAGCTCCCAAGTATTGCTACAGTCCAGGGAGACATACAATGTTAATGCAATCCCACAATTTACAATACCCATTATTCAAAAAGAAACCACATTCTTAATTTAAAATACCTCTTCAGAAGTTTACAGTATCTCCCGCTGTGAAAGCACAACCTGCCTTGAGCAGCACTACATGACAAGAAGGAACTGAGCCCTTTTGTACAGTTTTGCACACAGAACACACAATTTCTGCCACTGAGGTGAACACTGCAAGCCAACATTTCACCATCATACAAACGCTTTTTTTCCCCAGCCCATAGATTCCTTGGGGAACACAGTATGCTGCGTGGATTCAAGACATGCAAACGTCTTGCAAAGTCAGCATGCCGATGCCAGGTCTTCAGGCAGCTCCGTTAAGATTATGTGAAACACCCTTTGGTCATGGAACAGTAGAAAGCAGCCTGAACTTAGCCTCAGCTCGTTTTAATGGTTACCCCCAAATCCGCTGCACAGGTGGAAGGAAGTTCTGCTTGTGTAACCTCCTGTCCTGGTACCCCAGCAGTGACATTCCCTGCTGCCCACCCTGTGCACCAGCTCACACCAGGTGGCATCATTTCAACAGCTCTGCCCATCACCTGCTCTCACGCTCACTCTACCTCTGAAACTGTGTACAGCTTTCCTACTTTTAATCTAGTTGTGCTCTTCATACAGACACAGGCCTGCAGGAAAAAGAGGAGTTTTCCATAAATTCAGATTTAATCAAAGTCCTGGTTAGATGTTACTGAGACCTCCAGAAACTTAGAACTCCAAAGACTTAAGAAAAACAAAGCTGAAGCTGCTCAGCAGTCACTTGCTGCAGTTTCCACTTGACTTCGAAATCCTCCTACAGCCAACAGCAACACTTCCTTCGGATTTCCTTCACTGCAACAACCTCAGTGCCATTCAAATCACAGAATGAGAGAGATGCGGAGCCAAAAGAGAGCTATTTAAAGTTCATAACAGACCTCCAGGAACAAAACACAGCTAAGCCCACAACTGAAAACTACCTGAGGTACCAACTGCTGGAGGAGGTGAGGATGGTTGGAGAACAGAAGGTCCTGTGTGTGCATGGTTTTTAGAAGGTTACCTGGCATTTTTCTCTTAACATATCCAGTGAGTATAAACCTGCATCAGAGCACTACCTAGGATGTCTTCTGATTCAAAGTTCAGGCAATATAATTCTAATTAATCAAATTAAGAAAGGACTTAAACACAAACTGCTAGTGGAAAACTGAATATTAACTGCTAGGAGTGTTAACTGGAAGTCTTGCACAATGTATTTACTTTTAATTCACACCTCATTTAAGCAGCTCCCAAATCTCATGGTCAGAGCAACATTCTCTGTGCTTCACTACTGTGAATCCAATCCAGCATGAGGCTTCTACCATGCTCAGGATGTTGTCTGGTCCTCTTTAGCCACAGTCTGCAACAGGCAAAGAAAAAAAATAAAGTACATCACAGGAGAACTGTATGACTCACTGCCATAATTGTGGAGCAACACTTTCATGTTTTCCCAGAGACTGAGAGTGATCTGGGCCTTTGGTTAGCACTCAGAAGCTACCAATGAACACAAACCTAACACAGACTGTGTTGTCAATATTTAAGCTTCTTATCACACTGATGGCAGTAAGTACAATAAACACTTGGGAACCTGTGCAGCCAACCCACCTGCTCCCAGCCACATGTGTGCAACAGGGAGCCACTGTTAGGAAACTTGGGACAAGAAGCTGTTAAACGACAGCCTAGAAGTTGGACAGTGCCTAATGCTGCAGGGAGCTACAGAAGACAGAGAAGGTCCTGATGAGAAGAGTTGGTTGGAGGTGAGGAAGAATATAAAAGGCAATGATAGCCCTTTCAGCTAGGAATACACACAGTGCAGCTGTGCACAGAAGCACAATGACCAATCGTGTCTCCAGATGCATGTTTCTGTGGCTAGTACAACCAGAAGGGAAAGCACTGCAGTACAAGCAGTAATTTAGCAACGAGTTTTCCATAAGCAGTAAAATTGATCAAAAATCCTTTCATTCAGTCACTATTTTCCACTTATGTTCCTAACAGACCAGCCATATTCCAGTATTTTCTATGGCACTACTCCATGACACTAGTAAATAACACAAGCTCATGATGTTGACATGGAGTTCCATTTGGACCACAATTAGCATGCTCATCTGTGACTTCATGAGCAGAATTGGGGGGAGGGTGTCAAATTTACAAGAGTCCCACTAAAGAACTCCAAATAACACCTTTTTCAATTTTTCTTCTCATGGGTCAGGTAGGAAGGAAGCTTATAGACAAAAGCAAACACAAATAGAGGGCTTCAAAACCCCGATACCTTACCTGCCGCAAGAACTGCTTTCCAAGATAGCTGGTTGCCATGCTTGTCAAGTTTTTCCTACTGCCAACTTTGCATCTGATGTATCCATAAAGGTTGGCTCCCTGTAGAACCACTCCCATCATAACTACTGCCTAAGACACAAGAAAATACTGTCACCGATTTTGCATCACCTTACTGGTAACAAACAAAGTCCATTACTGAGTTGAGGGAGGCAACTCACCAGCCATTTCACTTTGAAAGAAAACAGAGCACTGAAAGCAAATATCACCCAGATGATAGGGCAGGTAATCAGACCCAGCCAGAAAATTCGGGACTCTGATTCTGAGGAGGTTTTATGTCCTTGTGCTGATACCTAGAAACACAGAGTAAATGGAGATTAACAGATCTCACCATCACTACAAACAGCCCAGAACTTACAAGTCTCCTGGGTTTTGTCTCCACACAACTGTACTGGATGCTTTGGAGACCAGCTTCTATACCTTGTGACAAAAGATGTTTCCATTTGGGGGGAAGTAGCAACAAATTGTCTTGGAATATTTGGGGCAAAAAAGCCTCAGGAAGTTTGAGAAATGTTACATGTGCTGCATGGTTCAGTTTCAATGCACAGAATCACCCAAACAGGTAACACCTTCTACCTTAACATCACTGTACAGACAACCAGAATTTCACTGAGTGCTGCCAGAACTAAATATTGATACTTAGAGCCATCAAATCAGGCAATTTCTACACAGATATGACTCACACTGCACTACTGGCTTTCTTTATTGAGAAGATCCCAAGCAATCACTCATTCTTCCTATGAATAGTTAAAAGATCTGAACTGAATGAACTCATGGATCAATGTAATGTATTACCAGCAGTTTAGGTACTTTTTATCCTCTCCCTAACGTATTCTAGCTTTTCCAACAAGCATAGTTTTGAGAAAGAATGTGTCTGCAGGGGCACAAATTCATCTGGAGAAAGTTTCTCTGCACCACTGTAGATTTCCAGTGTGAGCACAGGAAATGACTTTTACCTCACTCCACACCTGTGCACCGGAAGTGCTGTTACCTCCATGCACACATAGATAACAGGCAGGGATCAAAAGGGTAATTGACAGGACATGAGGTGCCAACAGAAGGCATATTAAACACACAGCAACAGGTAGAATGAACACAAGGGAGCAGTAACACTATGAGCAATGCTGGATTGTTTTTCCTAGTTCCAATGATCTGCTATGGGAGGTAAAAGATATGTCAGCTGTTCTGTGCTCACACCAGAAAATTTCAATGTTCTTGACAAGACATGGGAACCTTTACAACATTTTATGTGAAAACGAAGTTACTCACATAAACATTTTTCTCAAGTGTCGATCTGGCTTTTAAATAAAGCAAAAATGTAAAAGATGATGTTATCCATTCAGTACCACCATGAAACAGGTAAGTGGTTACAGATCTGTGGCTGGACGCATCTAAACTGTGCAGTTCATCATCACAAACATAACTGTTAATTAACAGGGGGTTGATAAACCTGAAACAACTAAAGGAAGACTTACCTTTCTAGATTCAAATTTCCAGTGACTTCTACCATCATCATCCACCTGATTCCACCAGCGGAGGCCAACCATCAGTCGCCCTGTGACATTCTGAAACAGACAGAGAGCAAAGAGGTTTTAATTTGCCACTACGAGAAACCATCTCAACACTGCACCCACAAAAAATTATGATTTTTCAGCTCCAGATTTTATTGCTGTTAGCTCTGTGAGAAGCTTTAAGTTCTCCAGGCAGCAAATTCCCTCTTACATTGGTAGCTGCTGGTTTCACAGCAATCTGCTCTCAGTGGCTGCACAAGTTCACAATGCTAGCTGTATTTTAGAATGAGAGGCATCACACCCTGTAAAGATCTCATATTCCATCGCTCTTGATTCTGCCAAAGCTTGGCTGTTTGGGTTGCTATTTGCAATGTTGCTCATTTGTTTCACATGTGGGCAAACAAGATCACAAAGCTCTCATATCGAAACCCATTTTCTGATACATTCAGTACAATAAGAAATTGCTGTACTAACATAAATGACGTATACTTCTGGTGACTAAGAAGTGACCTTTCTAAAAATGAAGCCTGTGCTGCCTTAAAAGAATAAGTCTGCTATGTGATCTCCATTTGATTTTCAAAAAAAAAGCACTTAATCAGCTACACAGTGTTGTTTCCTAACGAATTGCAGTACTCGAGTGTATCTCAAGTATAATTTTGTTGGAAAGGCACAAAGAAGGTACTTTTTTGTGGAACAAATATCACTCTATTCAATTATTCTTATATGGTTAGACATGATAACAAAAAGCATGAGAGGAACTTACCTTTACGGCCCAAAAGTCACACGACAAGAGAAGAATAATTGTCACCATGCAGGCAATAAAGCTGCTAGTTAAGAGCTCACAGAGCAGATAGACAACTATCGCACTGACTCGGAAGAACAGGTGGAAAAATGATGCCACTGGATGCCTGGAATGAAGTACAGCACAGTCACAGTTCTTTCAGACAGGACTGAAGCAATTTCAGAGAAACAACATTGCAAAGTGATCCTCTCCCACCAAGAATAAGAATCTGTATTATTATGTGAAACCAGTGTGTGAAAATATGGGTAAAAAAACCTCACTGGGAGCTCATCCTAAGGAGGAAATATTCCACTCACAGACATAACCCAAACACAACGAGAATCTAGGAATGAAGGAGCCAGGTATTTATTTATTTATTTAACCTCATGTTCAACATAAGCCAATTTTTTTGAGGTAAATTTGAAAAGGGTTCTGACAAGAAACAGCAAACTGAGCTGCATCACACAACAGACATGCCTCCTTTCTGACTTGCACAGTGCCCTGTTCAGAAATGTACAATATCAGCATGGCACCAGGATTTCACACTACCAGCTGTGTGGGAAAATACAGATCATGGCCTGAACAAATGACTGCCCTGTAGGAAAGGGCTCACGTGAGCTTGGGAATGCAAGTATACCACCTCTAGCTTCTGCATATAACCAGAAAAAGCTTATTAGTGAGAAAATGCTCTTTAGCTGTGAATTATTCTCCTTGCTTTCTATGAATGATTGCTCACCCTGATATTTGATGCATTATGGTCTGTAGCTGTTAAATATATGGGCACAGTACTAAGGGGTCACAGCAGACATCTTGCCAGCTTGCTGCTACATGTATGTGCTGGGGAAATCCCAGGGCAGACATGATACTGGTTGGTCACTGCTGGTACTGAGGGCTTGGCAGACACTGATCAGCCAGCTGATGCCAGTAAAATAAGTACCTCCCTATTAAATCAGTGAATGTGAGCTCATCTCCACGTACTTTCTTTCAGGATTAGCAAACCTTATTCAGAAGTGCTGGTGCTTCTGCCAAACACTGGTGTGACCACAGCGGGACATGGCAGGCAGCAGGGCAGTGCTACTCACACTAGGAAACAGAGACTGGCAAAGAGATAACAGACCAGCCTGGAAACCAGCGCTCAGCACAGCGAAAGCCTCCTGTTACAGAGAGCTCAGAGACACTTTGTCAGTAACGCATACACACAGTTAACGTGGGGACTCAGAAGCACAAAGGCACAGATACGTGGATTCCACCTGAGCTTCTGGAACTGCCACTGTCAGCTAAGCAGAAGTTACTCTGCATTCTTTCTAACAAAACAAAGATATTTGCTGTGATGTATTTCAACTGAATACAGCAGCCAAGGAAATGGGGCCAGGCTCATTTTGCCGGTGTCCAGCAACAGAACAACAGGAGGGGACAGTCCCTCCTTCTCCATACTTCTGCACAGAATTCATCTATAAACTTTAACCAGGTCACTGACCTTATTTTTGACTTTTTTGATCTCCTGGATACTTCATCGTCGGCATCAAACAGAGAGACATCCTCAATGTCATCACTGCTGCCCTAATGAGACGAACAGATGCAGAGTTACAAGAGAAAGAGAGTCGCTTTTCAACTTCAACCCGGGTCACTTCTGATTACACTGAAGTACTGGGATGATGATTTAAGATTTAAACACATGCAGCACGAAGAAAACGTTAGAAGTAAAAGACACAGAAACCGGATTTTACTACGACTGCTAATTCAGGCAACGCCTCCCGTGCTGAAGAGAGGCAAGAAGAGCGGCGAGGCCTGCTCGTGTCGAGAGTACTCCCCTCAGCCAGGAGCCAGCTCAGCCTCTGCGCTCCCCCCTGTACCCAGAGCCCACAGCAGCCACCGAGCACCCACAGAGCGCAACACCCGAGTCCCAGCGAGCCCCACGCAGCCCCACGGCCGGGCCCAGAGGAACGCCGCGCAGCCCCACGTCCATACCGAGCGACGCCACAGCCCCCACCCCTCACCTGCCGCAGCATGGCCGCAGCACCACTTCCGGCCCCAGCACCACTTCCGGCCGCGCCACATCACCACAGCGGCCAATCTCGCGAGATTCGCAGCGCCGCGTCTGCGCACTGGGGCACGGCTCTGACGTCAGAGGGAGGCCGTGGGGGAGGGGCGGGGTCTGCTCGGCGCCCGGCTGTGGCGCGGTGCCGCGTGCTGTGGCTGTTTTGTCCGGCTGCAGCCCTGCTGCCACAGCCCGGCCTCAGCCCTCTAATGCGAGAAAATCATGTTTCCAGCACGCTGGCCCCAGTGCCCAGGGTCAGACAACGGACTCTGTTTTGTCTTGTCAGGAGCTGGATTAATGGAAAACACGAACGCTTGTTTTACCCTCAGGAATAAAGGAATGCACAGCCAGCAGTTCAGCTTGGTTTAAACGCAGCAGTTATTTTCTCTTTCCTGAGGCAGTGCCACATGCTTTGGATTTCTCATGCACCTTGCTACCAGCACACGGCTGTGGAACTGTTCCGTAATACCAGAAAGCAGAGGAAGAAAGGTCTGATCATAAGATCCAAATGTTTTCCCTCGACCGCCGTCGCTGCTCCTGCGCAGCACTGATGGCAGCTCCACCACAGCACAGCTCCACCACAGCACAGCTCCACCACAGCACAGCTGAGGCTGGCGGTGTCTCTGGGGCTGACTGCTCCCAGCCCTGCTCCAGCAGGGACACCAAAGCAGGGACACCCCAGCAGGGGTCCAGGACCACATCCCAGCAGCTCTTCTCCATGCTGGACTCCATGAAGTTCCTCCAGTCTGTTGCTCCAGCCTGGGCAGGTTCCCCTGGCTGGCAGGCAGCTGGACCCCCATAAGGGATGAGCTCCAATGCTGGGACCGTTTTCACGGCCCTCCTCTGGATGTTCTCCAACAGCTCCGTGTCTCTCCTGTACTGAGGATTCCACATCTGGACACAGTACTCCAGGTGAGGTTTCACAGCACAAAGCAGAGGGGCAGATCCCCTCCCTTGCCCTGCTAGCCATGCTGCTTGAATGCATCCCAGGATATAGTTGGCTTTCTGGGCTGTGAGGGCACGTTGCTGGTTCATGCCCAGCTTTCCATCCACCAGTACCCCCAAGACTTGTTCTGCAAGGCTGTGCTCCATTCTCACATCCCCCAGCCTGTATTGGTAGTGGAGCTTGCCACAACCCAGGTGCAGACCTTACTTGATTACCCTCCAGTTCTGGCTGTTCAGCCAGCTTTCTGTCCACCTCGCTGTCTATTTATCCAGCCCATACTTCTTTAGCTTGTAAACTCTAATCAGTCTATACAAACTCTAACGAGAAGAATTTTTATTCAAACAGTTGAGCCATATCTTTGTTCTATTAGTCTTGAATGTGCTGTGTCTGTAATAACAACACATCTAGCAACTTAAAACCCAGGAGAGGAGTCATTCCATTCACTGCCTTGAGAAAGAGCTGAAAGTACAAATAATATCTCATGGAAAGTTTAACAGCAGAGACACCTTTTGTACTTACATAGAAACCACAGGGATCTTGACACAGCAGGCTCAGCTGGATACCCAAGGAAGCTGTTACATTAGAGAACCAGAATCCTCAGATGCTGGTGATTTGTTGGACTAATGGGTTACCTCAGATAAATGTATTAAGTCCAAGTTCAGGAGCAAATATCTTCCCCTCCTTAGTAAAAGAGACTGTAGGTAGGCCTTTAGTTTTCCTTAACCATGCCTTCTTGCGTGCTCTTTGATGATCTTCTTTGAGCTTTGCCTGGTTTGCCTGACACTGAGCTACAGCAGCTGCAGCACATGCCTCCTTCTGCTGTCCTGTCAGAAGTCTGAACTCACTGTCAGCCTCGGAAGGATCTGCAGCGTATGGACAAAAGGGTTTTTTTCCCCTGCAAACTGATTCATTTTTCATTTGTGGGATCATTGCATGTGTTGAGTTGATCCGTTCGGAAGCTGTACGGTGTGTACCACTATGCTGAACTCTGTCTTCAGGGAGAGAAGTGCCTTGACTGTGAGCACCATGAACTTTCTTTCCTTGTGGCAAAGCACTGCAAGTCTTGAGACGTACAATGCAGGGAGCAGGAATGGAGGAATTCACATTGGGCCCATGCAAAGAATTTTTCAGCTTGAGTTGCAGCATTTTAGTTTCAAAGGGTACAGAAATTCTTTTCATAGTCAGAGAATCACTGTGAGATCTCGCACGTTGGATCTGGGCTGTCAGCTCCTTTTTTTGTTGCAGAGGGGTTGTGTATATTCGCCTTTTTTGTTGCTGTTGCAGCAGACATTCCAATGCTTTCCCAGTTGCTGCAGGATGCTTTGTAGTGGAGCGGACAAAGGATGGCTTGCTACTCTTCTGCAGCATGCTGATAGTCAAGAGGAACTTGTCAGAGGACATTGAGCCCTTTTTCTCTTCCCGCTGTCTGTCAGGATGTGCAAGTACAGAAGTGCCATATTCAGATGTACCATCTGTTTTCAAAAACGAAACAACACCGAACATAAATGGAGTCAAGAGCATTGTCTGAGGTCATTAGCTGCATGGTAGTACCCCAGGTAAGACCAAGGACAGGTGCTGCATTGGTAGGCATATGGACAGTCCAAGTTTATCTACACAACAGGCAACACAGGCAGCAATGTACCAATGATGCCCATTTCAGTTTGTTCATTCTTAGCCTTGCTAGCAATACTGCCAGAGATAATTCTGTCCTGGTGACCTGAGGAGTGATTATTGCCATAGTCTGTACCAGTCAAATGAATGCCAGATTCTATAATATACATCGTACAGGGAATGACCTGATACCCAACTTGGCTTCCCCTGCACCCCTTTCTTGTCCTTCAGTTTGTATATTGGGAAATGGCTTTAAGAGAAGTCATTTCCCAGCAGAAATCTGTGAAAGAGCCAACATCTGAGAACCACTATGAACTACTTCTACCCAGACCTGCATTTGAGCTTGAAATCACAGGACACATTTTGTATTCTAGCTTTGATGCCTGAAGTGATGTCAAGGCTGACTTGCATGTTTAACAGACACATCAGGATGGATTCATTATTAAACCTTTAATTGAGAACTAAATTTGTCACATTGCAAAGCAATGTCATGCCATTTATACATCACTGCTTGGCTGTTTTTTGTTTGTTTTTTAAACTGGTTAACCGATACTTCTGCCTTCTGGAAATATATTTCAGAGGATATTAAGCTTCGTTTGCAAAGGCAGAACACAGCAAAACAGACTGATTACAGAATCAGAATATCTTGAGTTGGAATGGACCCACAAGGACCACCTAGAACCAGGGTTGCCCCATTCCAGGCACAACATCCAGCACTTGTTAGACTTCATGCAGTTGGTGATTGCTCAAGATCTCTCTGCAAGGCCTCTTTACCTTCAAGGGAGTCAGCAGCTCCTCCTAATTTATTACCATCAGCAAACTGACTTGGTATGCATTTGAATCCCACCTCTGGATTCTTTAAAAACATTGAAGAGAACTGGCCCCAAAATGGAGCGCTGGGGAACCCAACCAGTAAACTGGCCATCAGCCTGAACAGTACTAATGAAAATCACTGCTTATTCCTCACTCAGAGATTTGTTCAGTCTGCACATACAGGTGGCTCTGGATCTCAGTTACAAACACCCTGAATTTGGGTAACAGACTTCTGATGGTTTCAACACTTCTGAAGTGAGATTTCAGTGTCTGCCCAACTCCAAAATCCATCAGATTCTGAATTTAAATGCTGGGAGAAGCTGTAAGTTGTGACAAATACCACATGACCAGGGACCATGTCTGTGATCTCAGTGCTGTCATTTTCAAACTGCAGCTTGCTGTGTCAAGCTGGCTGAGATGATTTCCACATATATTATTTTAAGCACGTTTTTCTTAGCAGCTACTAACTACCTGAAGATATTTCCTACACATATCTCCTACGTGTGATAAAGAAATCACAGCTTGAATAAGGTTACAGAGAAAAAAAAAAAGAAAGAAAGCCTAGATACCAGAGAGCTAAGCTTTATCATAGGACTGGATTGCTTTCCCTATTTGATTGATCTTATACAGCTTCTGTAACCACTACACCCTCTACAAGGATCCATTTTGCCACTGCAGACCTCTCATCCAGAATTGGCCTGTCTCCTACAGATCATTACTTCTTGTTTAATCCGTTCATTTATCTTAGATGCACTCATTCAGCCAGCATCCTACCATGCTATGACAAGTTCTCACTAGCATCTGCCAGGTTCCTTACAGAAGATGCCTTTGCAAGCTGTCCCAAAGCAAGAGGATGGGGCTGGTTCTTACCAGGAGCAAAAAGCTGCTCTTCCTGGGTGTGAGAAGATCTCCTGCTCCCAAGCAGATGCTCCTGTTGCTGGCAAGCTGCTGGTTTTATCAGTTCATTGCAGAGAGCTAGAAAGCAGAAGAATACATCATCTCTAAGCTGTGTTGGTGTTAAACTTCCATTTAAAACAAAAATCCTCGTAAATTATGAGATTTGAAGTCTCTGGCCACTGCTTTGCCTCTTATCACAGCTTCTGAAGTCTGGATGTTAGAAACAACCCACTCGTGTTTGATTAACAGAAAACATCACAGGAGCCAAATGCTGATTTCCAGAATTAGGTGTACATATACACCACCCAGATTTTTGCCACGACAATTAAAACGATCAGTTTGCTTCCTGTTTTTGCCCACTGTACGTCCTGCAGCAAGCACAGCTGCTTCGAGGAAGTTAGCAATTCATGCTATGAAAACTTCCCTACCTAGCCCGTCTTCTTCTGTGCAGCTTGAGCATAGAGTTGGAGATTTGTGGTACTGTATTAAATAACTGCTGATTTCTAAAAAATCACACCACAATACGACAATTTAAAAGGTGCCTATTTATGTGCAATTGCATGTCCTAGTGATGGCAAATTCTGGATGCAGGTGTCCTGTGATTTTCTGGGGATTTTAATAATTCAAGCTCTGAATCAGCAGCATGTTTCCATGCACACCAGCTGTCAGGACATGAATAATATCACTGATGGATTACTCAGCTGGAAAATGACTGAAACTGTCTTAAGCGTGCTGAATTTACATCAAACCTTTCTAAAAAGGTGCAAAGGTTTTACAAAAGCCTGGAAACGACAGACCCATTGAAATGCAGCAGCATGTCTACTCGGCTGCACTTCAAAAAGTGAAGAGTCTGCACATGAAGACAGCAGGTACCTGATGCTATTTCTAACCCACTTCAGCAGACCTTGCCAGAGCATTGCAAAGGCCATATCTAGTGCTTCGAGGCACTCCAGAACATTTTGGCAAGCAGATCAAGCATGAGCAGGTCAGCACCTCGTGTCTTCAGAGTGAGGCGACGCATCTGGCTGGCAATGTGGCTCTTGGTTTGCTGGGAGGGAGTCAATGCTGTGCCCAAAAGGGAGCTCTCCTGCTTCTGCTTCCATTCCATCTCTCGCTCAGCACCTCGTGTGTAGTCCCACATGACATCCTCAAACTGGAACATCAGCAGGCTGCTGGTTGCATTGATCACCATCCTGGGGGAGGAAAGGGCTCTTAAAAGCAAGAATATCATTAATGCAGCAGGTACTGCCTAACAGGTCCGTTTGCTTCTGTCTAATACAAACTCTGAGGGTAATTAAACAGAACTGAGAAAATGATCACTTCTTTGTGAAAGAAAAAAGCAGTGGCAATTAGTCCCATCAGTCAGATACCGTACTTCTAACTCACACAGTCTGCCTGAGCTCTGTGCAGCTCTTCTCATCCCACTTATGGTAAATTCGTTGCCATGAAGGATGACAGTTAATGAAATAAAATAAACATGTCCCAGCAGTGGACTGAATTTGACCAACGTAATGCCACAAGAAATTGGAGACACCATATTATCAGGGGCTTTAAATCTCAAGTAGAGGGGTGTCCTGGGACTGGCTAAGATGGAGTTCGTTTTTCTTCCTAGCAGCTCACCTAGAGCTGCATTTTAGAGTCATGACCAAAAGAGTGTTCACAACACATTGGTGATTTAGCTCTCATCCAGAAGCTGGAATCACCGTTAGAGGTGTGGATATGAAGGAACCTGGAAGCATTTTCCAATGTTGGCATTTCTACTGAGACAGGTCAGGGAGCAAGCAAAGGCTTTGCCAGGTCTTGGCTTGTTTCTGCAGCCTCTTAGTAATTTGAATTCAGCTTTACAGTTCAGATTTTATCTGAAATCATACAGAAATGAGAAATTTTCGACTGCTGAAAGAACCAAGCAAATCATTGTTAATAAAAAAAAAAACAATTTGTCAAAGCAGTCCTGAAGCAGCAGAGTCCTTTACAGCTTATTTGCAAGAAAGAGAGATGGCAGAATACATAATTCCTTAAATTACAACCTAATTTGGTAGAGTCTGACTGCAGCTGTTGTCACCAACCTGTTTTTGGCAGCACAGAAAGATACAGGATCCCCTCTGCTGCTGCCCACCAGCACTCTCAGGCAGCTCCCAGTCAGGAAGTTAAACACACGGATCTTCCCATCAGCACAACTGCTGACAACTCTGAGACAGAGCAACTCCAGAGACAGAACTTCCCTGAAAACAACATGCAAACATTGGTGCAGTCACCATGCCTTCACAAGGAGACAAGATCAACTGCCTCTTGTTTTGCAAGGGATGCAAAGCCCTGCCTCTATCAACAGGCTTAAAAAACACAACTGGAGCAATCAAGATACTTGGAAGACCTGCAGAAGTTCTTCATAACCAGTCTTGTGAAGATCACCAAAGTCACCATGCCCAACAAGCAAAGCCGATGCTCATCCTCAGAGTAACCACTGTGATTACAGCTATCTGCCACATTTAACATTTTATTTTTGTGTCTAGGAAAGTAAATAGAACAGTAAGATGCTATAGTTCTCGTAGTTGTAATAAGCAAGTACTACTAATTGATCTCATATGCAGTTGGTGGGGTTCAGCATGCAATGCAGCCACCATGAACATACACAGTGTCAACTGTTGACCAAGTTGCATGACACCCAATTGAGTGAAGGCTGGGATCCTTTAAATTTTGGACTATGCAATGTTTCTGTCCTCAGTCACTCCTGTTTGTGAACCAGCAGCTGTGTATTTGTATTTTAGCTTGTTACGGATCTTCACAACTGACAAATGTTGGTTATGGCCATGTGTTGCCTAACACTTTTTAGGTGGAGGACTGTTGGAAAAGGAGAGTTCACATTCTAGCACTGACCAACGTAAGATATTTTGTGTTCCTGTAAGGGAGACATTTTTTTCTTTTTACAGCATACACCATGAAACACACGGACACTTACTTCGGGTGGCGGAAAGCTGTTAGGCACCTCTGAAGGTCTCCCACCATGCTCCATCCCAAGACATACCCGTCATTGCTTCCTGAGACAAGGTGCCACTGACCAAAGGACAAGCACCTCACTGGGCCTAGGTGCCCTTCTAGTATCTGAGAGGAAAAAGAAACAGGTGAGAAACTGATTGTGGTGGAAGGGGCAATTACGGTCTGAGCCCAGGTGAGAATGGGTTATCTTGCTCCCAAGATGCAGCTTGATGCCATTCCTCTCATAAATCTGGATTCATGCTGCTTCTGGACACCTGCAAAGCTAATGAGCAGACTCTGGCCTCAACCTTTACATTGCAGAGCAGCCATTCAGCTTCTTATAAACTGCTGCTGCTTCTGAGAACAGCAAACTTCCTATTCTGGGCTAACCCATGACACCTCCAACCCTGGAAGCTGCTAGTCCAGCCCTCCCACGCCCCTCTCAGGTTCTCAGTGCTTCTAAATGAGCAGAGCTAAATGTACCTGCAAAGATTAAATAACGAGGGGGCTTGAATACAAGGCAATATCCCAGATAAGAACTTAGAATAATAATAAAAACTGGTTTGCAAATATCTTTCACCAATAATTCTGCAGTTCCTTTTATCAGTTCGGACTCTTCTCTTATTTCTTTGCTTTGCTTTGGTTTTAGAGAGTCTCTGGGACAGAAGCTAGCTTTGATAAACTAGTACAGTAAACTAGCACAGGATTATCCATCTAAGAAACTTACTTTGAGCAGAGCTCCTGTGCCAGCATGCCAGACTTTCACCAGCCCTCTGTCACACCCACTGACAACATGGGTTCCATCCATTTTAACAGCATAAACAATACTGCTGTGTTTCAGGGTCTTAAGACATACCCCGCTGTCCAAGTTCCACACTGTTAGGATTAAAGAGGAGAAACGCTGACAATTATCTGTCCCTATTGTATGGTTTTGGTTTTTTCCTGAGTGCAATATGAATTAAAAGATGCTACTGCAGAAGGATCTGCCCCTTGTATCTGCAGTTCTGCCTGGAGCCAGGTGTTGACATAAAGAGTGTGACTACAAAGCAAACTTTTTAAATACAAAGCCCTGACAATGGCACATCATTTCAGTGCTTAATCTGCAAGTGAATCACAAGGCAAAGCTGCAAGCTGTACCACTTTCCTGTGATTTGTTCTGGCCCTATAGCCACATAGCCATTAAAAAAAATAATAATAATAAAATAAGCAATAATAAGAGTAAAAATCCACCCTTATACACTTGTCTCCAGACTATCACCACATATATCACTCCAGAACTCCCCAGTACTCTGCCATTCCCTTGGCTGCACAGCTCCTAGCTTTGGCTCTCACCTTTCACCATCCCATCTGTGCCTCCTGACACAAACTTCTTGTTGTGTAAATCCAAGCAGGTGATGGCCCTGCAGTGACCTGTAAAGATTTTCATGCAAGCACCACTGTATATATTCCAGCATCTATATGGTAAAGGAAATACAGTGATTAATGATATAATTTATGGATGATTAATTACTTCCTACTTAACAGGCCCAGCTCTTCTCAAATCCATGCTACATTAAGATCAGGAGACGTCCCACTGAGTTAATGAGGGATTCAGAACAATCAAATCAGGCTTAACATTAAATTTTTACATTTTGTCTGCTCTTCCACCTCCAAACTGCCTGGAAATTTGCAGTTGGATTTCAGCTCTGGCATGGCTACATCAGATTGACCTTCAGATGGAGAGCTATACAGATAAGCTTCTTTATTTCTTTGCTGGTGGGTACCAAAATGATTTCGGTTGACTTCGTCTTGAGAACTCAACAAACAACACTCTGGGGAGGGGAAGGGCAGGCAGGAGAGCCTGAATCACTCTTCCCTTATTGTTAAATGCTGTTTTTGTGGATGTTGTGCATGCACCATGCCAGAGCTTTCACCCCTTGTTGTTACACTCCTGAGATTCAGTGGTAAATAAGATGAAGCAGCTGCTCATCTCCACCCCCTTTTGTCAACACACAGGACCAGGGCAGGAGCAGCTGCACACCAGCAGCAGGCTGCAGGATTTGCTCAGCACAACAAACCTCCTGCAGGGTCATGGAGGAACTTGGTGCAGACCTCAGCAGGCACAGAACCTCACTGCTGGCACCTACCACACACATCCCTGGTGCTTTAAGGTACAGTGATACACAGCTTGTATGAAAGCATCTTCCTACTTTATTATTTAGTATTAGGTGAAACTGGAAAACAGAAGCAGTCCTATGGTGAATGTGTTTAATTTATCGGCTTTACTTCATTACTATGGTGAAAGTGATGGTCAGGAGGATTCATAAAGATTGAAGTGGAAGGATTTAAGCTCTAGTTTTTTAGATTTCCAGGGAGGTAGGATCCAGGGCACAGTCCCAGGGCTGCTCACCTGATGCTGAGATCGCAGCTTGCGCTAAGAATGAGCCCTTTCTTCTCATCAAGCAGCAGTGCTTTGATGCTTCCAGCATGCCCAGAGAGCAGAGGTGGCACTTCTCTCATTGACAACACATTAAAAATCCTCACTTTTTGATCTGCAGAGCCAATGGCTACCAAGTCTCCCCCAGCATAGTGGATTACTCTGTTTGGGTCTGATCTGGATAAAGAAGAGTGATTGAGATGAGTTTTTGTCAGTTAACAAGCTCTAGCAGTATTCAGTACTGAGTGACCCTCAAAGAGCAACCTGATAGGCAGCCTGCTTAGGATGTGGATCCTCTGCAGAGCACCACAACTGTGGTCCTCATTCTGCATTCCCAGGTTCATATCTGGAAGGTAAGCTTTAAAAAGGGGAGAGGGCTCCTTCCAGCTCCACATCCCTTATGATATACCATGGGTCCTAACCCTTGTGTCTTCAAGAGTGATTCCATTTGGCATCTTTATTAAAGGAAAAAAAAAAAAAAGATTTGATACTGTGAGTTGTTTATCACAGACACCAAGACCCTTCTCCAGCCATAGATGCCCACAGAACAATTGCAAGGAAGGGGACAGGGTTTCAGAAGCCCTGTTTGGCCCTACAGAGGTAGTGCAGAAAACAGTCAGGTGCAGCACAGGTACCGGTTAGTGAGGACACGAATATTGTAGGAGCCACAGAATACATTCCTCTCTTCCAGCTGGATTGTGTCAGTTTGCAGATCATGATAGGCTGCCTGCAGGTTGTTTTCTTTCTCCTCCTCCTTGTCTTCCTGGTGGTAAGAAATAGGGAAGCATTACCCAGGAGTGGGGGTAAGACACTGTTGTTCCCTAGCATTAGCCATATCAGCTTACTCCCTACAGGAACAACAGAGATGAAAAGTGCCAGTAAAGAACAACCAGCATGCAGTAACTCCTTGGTTAGCACAGAAACAAGGCTTCTTCCCTTCTGCCTCACTCAGTGGCAGCCACTCTTTATCCATTGGAATAGAGGCCATGTCTCCATGATGTCCAGCCTTGCCAGTTCTATGGCCTCAAAGCTACTCCTGTGCCTGGGGGGAAGCATTAGGACAAAGCAGAACATCCTTCTGGACGTGGATGCTGGCTTCCCCCTGTGCAAGAAGTGGTCCTTACAAGCTGCTTGCAGTGGTGCAAGCCAGAAGCAGAAGAGCAAAGGAACTCCAAATTCACAGTTCTGTTTTCCAAGACAACCATGTCCTCCCTTCTCCCTGAGATGGAAGAGACACAGAAGGCAAACCCCCCTCCAACATACCTTTGTTTTACTTCCAGGGCTGTGTTCTCTCACTTTGATGACACATCCCTTTTCATTTAACTGTGGAATTGCCACGTTGACTATTTTAGCATAGTTGGAAACTGCTCTCCGAGGGCACAACCCCTGGAAGAAACCAACAGAGGCAACACAATCACAGCAGAGCTTGGTCTGTACTAACCAGGGTGAACCTCTCCTCCAAGCTCTGCTGTACTGCATCCCAACCCCCAGCTCTGGCTTTTCACAATGAAACCTAACATTTCCATCATCCTATGTGGAGCAAATAAAGTTCACTGGGCAGAGCTAAAATGACCTGATCACCAAATCTTGATTTTAGAATGTCCTCATCAACGTTCAGAGTTGCAGGCTCCCTAAATGTCACTAAAAGCTATTCTGTTGTGTTTGAGACTGCATGAACACCCAACCCAACTTTGCAGATGGAGGAAGGAATAGGGTGAAGCCGGGAGGTGGCCTCCAGAAAGGCACCTCTATCTCATGGTTTGGGCAACAACACGGGAAAGAATAAAATAAGGCCACAATGATGGCAGAAGTCCAGGCACCGTACCTGCAAATACAGGATTTTCTTCTGTACCACTTTTTGACACGCATGCTCCTTCTCAACTTCTTTGGCCAGAAAAGCCCAGTATCTACTCACACTGGCACATGTTTTAAGGGATTTGTTATCCAAAAGCCCTGAGGAACAAAGAGGACAGAGCAGAGAACAACATCCACATGAGAAGCCACCCGTTACCCTCAGGGGAAACCAGTCTTGGAAAGTGAGAGACGCCTTACCCAGGATGTACCGGGAGAGGTGAACTGGCAGGCAGCGAATTAAGTCCTTGTATGTGACACGAGAAAGTGATGGGAGAGATGTAGGACATGGAGGGATGTCCCCATGGGCTGAGGATGCAGTAAGTGAAGCAACCTCTGCACCATGGCCCTCTGGGATGGGGCAGCTGGCAGCTGGGGGACAGAAGCGTGCTGCTGGTGTTTGCCCACCTAGAAGACATTGGAAGGGACAGACAGTAATGGGACAGCTGTCAGTGCAGCCAGGACTGAGCTTGGTGGGAGTGCAGTCCTACAGTTTTCTCCTTGCAAATGGGACGTTTCCCAGTTAGCAGCACTGGGGGGAAGGCGAGGAGTGGGGGAGAGGGGAGGTGAAGGGGTGGGGGAGGTTCTGTCCTGAAAATATCAAAACAGCCTCTTGTTAAGGATGTTTTCAGAGTGGGGTACTCCTGCTTTAGCCATCAGATTTCCTTCAGTAGAAATAAATCTTTGTCGTGACGCTGCAGCAGAAAAGAGCACGACAAACCTCCCCGCCGTCCCCCAGATAAGAAGCCGTTAAGGCAAACACAGCGGCTTCCCTTCTCACCAAACCGCAGCCCCGTCCTCCCACCTGCCCGGAGGAGGAGCTCGGTGCCTCCTGACCCCGCTTCTCCCCGGCCCCTCTCAGTGCCGAGGCGCGGATCGAACCCGCAGCCCCGCACCGCCGCCATCCCGCTCCGCCCCGCCCCGCGCTGCCGGGACACCGCGCTGCGCTGCCGGGGAACCGCGACGCGTCGGTCCGGTGCTGCGAGCATCGTCCGTGCGGGTCGGACCCAGCAGGAGGGACGGCAGCTCCGTGCGTGCTGGGCAGAGGCAGCGGGACGGCCAGGGCTCTGCTGTGCCCGCTTCTCGTGGGCTCTGGCACTTAGAGGAAAGCAGGGCTCCAGCTCCGCCACGGCGTTGTTTTCCTTTGACGCGGCAAACACAGCGCTTCCCACCAGCACCGGACACCTACATGTACCCCACTGCCTGACTGTGCCATTAAGTCATAGGTGGGAGCAGGTTCCTTGCTCCGTGCCGGCAGGGAGGTATGAGCAACCACCAAAACCACACTGGGACCCCAGAGGACATCCCCACCTCCCTGCAGACAGCCTGGACCATGCCCTGCTCTGCCATCTGCTTCCAAAAGCAGAACCTGGAAGGAGTTCTCCATCTGCACCGTACACCTGGGGGTACGTGCCAGGGACAAACACTGAGTGTGGGGCATGGAGGAGTTGAGCCCAGCAGCTGGGCAGCAGGCTGCACTTCTTATCTGCTGCACAGCACTGAAGCACAGCATGGGCTGGCTGTGACCCAGCCCCTTTGTTGGCTCTGGTGCTCCTGCCCCAGCTGAAAGCATGTTGCTGGAGTTCCACTCCCCATGGTTGCAGGTTAGGGTCTGTGTTCTGCAGCAAGCAGTGCATTCCTGACATTCATTTACCAGATAATAATAATATACATCATTCATTTACCTGATTTGACTCTCTGGCAATACCAGAGAGTCAAATTGGGTAAACCAAAGTGGATGTTTTCCTGGCTCAGTCTGTTCTAGGATGCTGAAAACTTTGGGCAGGTGCTCCAATCTGCTGGGGCTCAGAGAGTGCTGGGATGCTGCTCTCTGCCACAGGGTTTGGATGATGCTGTGTGGGACTGGGGTTTGGATACAGTGATCCCCATCAGTCCCTACCAACTTGAGAATGTTCTGTGTTTCTGTGGTTCTCTGACCTTCTGGACTGAGCCAGCAGTCCAGACTCTACTGTGAAACCTCCTCTACCAGCCCTTTGCAGGCACAGAGGACCACCACATCACCCTGGGGATGCTGTGGCCCCAGAACTCCATGTCCTGCAGCAGGTTCTTGAGGTGGGTTGGCTAAAAGCTGCAGCTCATGGACCACTGCATCGCTGTAGGGCATCTTCATCTTGTCCTCCATGTGAGCACATGGCTCCATGTGCATCGCCTCGTGGACCTGGGCTGGGGAACAGCAGGTGCTGAGCTGCTGTGCTTTCTGTGCAGGGCAATGCAGATTTCTCACTGCCCTCAACAGACACCTACACCAGGGACTAATGGCTGTGCTGGCAGGGTCTCACTACAGGAGATGAAACCTTGAGGGAGGTGGTGGTAGGACTTCTTTCTCATCCACCCAATGGCATGTGGGACATCCCTGCTGTGTGTGCAGCATCCTTGAAGGGCTGAGGGTCTCAAATGGAGCCCAGAACAAAACTGGAAGCCTGTGCTGATGGCTAACAGGAATTCATGTTGGTCTCAGACAAGAGATGTCACAGATGGAGGGGCTTACTGTGTGAGAATTGGGTATTTGAGGCTCAGAGTGCCATACACACAGCATGGCCAGCTGCCATCAGGACCTACTGCTCACCCCACAAAGTTTGCACAAGTTCTGGAAGTACTGGCTTCACTTGCAGGGGTTGGCTTTTGGTGGTGACAGTGTCACTGCCCTGATCCTGCTGCAGGTAGAGGAAGCCAGAGAGCAGTACAGCTTGTGTTCTCTTGCACCACGAGCCACCAGCAGTTACTGATTTACCCCATCCCATCCATCTGCACAGCCCCACAGAATGCCCTGCTCTCCTGGCTCCAATGCCTGCAGTGGGGACTTTGCTCAGGGAGCTGATGCCATGATCCAGGTTTTGGCACAAGGTGAGCAGCTGCTCAGTGCCTGGCACAGCTTTTCCCACAGCAGCTCAAGAATCACACAAGAACAGCCTTGGGGAAGGGGATTACCATGGACTACAAAGTTTAAATCCAGTGGGAAACATTTTTCTGCAGGCAGAGCTCACACTCATTGTATTTTTGCTTCAGCACTTGGAAGGACTGGGACTGAAGTGAGCCATCCACTTTTTATGAGCCTCAGACTTTGGTGCTACATCACTGTAGCGATTTCCTTACAAGGGCTTTGGAAGAGCAGGGGTCAGAAGAAAGCCAGAATGCTGCAGGGCTTTGGGATCCTTTAGGGAACCTTGCATGGGACCTTTCTGCCCCAAACCAGAGATAGAAGGAAAGGGTCAGCGAAAAAGCCCCATGGGCAGATGATGTGATGTCACCACAAAAAAAAAAAGGACTTTTCATTCAGAACAAACCCAGCAAGGCTGAAGCCCCTTGGGGTCACCTCACCATCCCAGCAGCTGCATCTGGTTGGGCTTTGATATCTCCAAGGATGGGGTCTGCATAGACTCTGGGACAATCCGTTTCCAGTGCTGATGCAAAGCCTTGGTGCAAAACAGAGCTTTGGCTTCCCCTGACCTCATGCATCCCTTTGGCTCTGCAGGCTCTAAGTGAGCTCTCATGCTTCACTAAGGCAAATAATACCATTCTAATGCAATTTTCCCCTGCCAGCTGCCCACAGCCAGGACATGCTGAAGCTGCTCTGCTTGCAGCCTTGGCTGTGCAGAGCAGAGCAAGAACAAAATCATCTGCAAAGTATCTTAATGCCTCCCTGCCCCTCTGTGAGCAGCGGGGTGCAGCGTGCAGCCCTGTGCGTGCTTGTGAGCTGTGCTGCCCAGCTGTGGCAGGGCACAGTCCAGGTGCTGGGAGCAGAGCAGTGGTAAGTGAGGCTTTGCAGCCTTGGCTGGAAACACAAACACCCTCCTCTGCATTTCTGTAACAGGGAAAACATCCTGGGAATGGGGCTCCCAGAGCAGCCCTCTGCCAGGGGTTTGGTCCTGACTCCTGTGTGGCTGCTGGTGGCACGTGAGGTGGGTGGGATTCCTACAGAGGGGCTGCACAAATGCCCATAGAGCAGTAGCTGCAGTGCCATGTGCTGCGCAGTGGGGAGGGCATCTCCGGCCAGGGCAGCAGATGGCAGGGCCAAGCCCTGGGCACAGCAGGGCCAGGCATGCAGGGAAGGGAGGGATGCTTGCTGCAGGCTGGGAACATGCCCTGCCAGTGCTTCTCACAGCCACAGATCTGATGGTTATTTACACTGCATGAAGCAGAAAGCTGAGCCCAGTGCCCCTGATGTGGCAGAGCAGTGCCCTGCAGCAGGCAGAGGCTTTGCTCCTGTTCCAGTGCATTGCAGGGTCTGTGGTGTCACAGTACAATGGATGCAGACAGGCCTGGCCAGGTCTCAATACAGCATGAAGGTCACACTGCCCAGCTGACACAGTGGGCAGCCTTGCTGCAAGCTTTGCTGCCCCTGCTCCCCACCACCCTCCCTGTCCTCCCACCCTTCTGCTGCAGGACCGCAGGGCACTGCTCTCACCACCTACCTCTATCTCTGCCTCCTGAAGCTGTCCCAGAGAACTTCTCTGCAGTGTGGCATCTGCCTGTGACATATTTTGGTGGCAAGTTGGCTTCCCAGGAGCAGATGTGGGTCAGGAGGAGCCCAAGGGTGTGGGCAGCGGGACAGTGCCCTGCACACATGGGGCTGTTGGCCCATGTTGTTTCCCACTGGTATGCCTGGCTCTGATGCTAATGGGCTCTGACCAATCTGGGCCGATGCTCACTGGTCCTGGAGGCACAGCAGCACAGGCTGGTGAGGTAGGGATGGTAGGGATGGGTCGGCCACAAGCCTGCAGGGAGAGGGGTGCCCTGCTGCCTTGGTGAGCCCCAGAGCCAGCCTGGAGCAGCCCTCTGCCCTGCCATGGCCTGTGAGCATCACCACAGTGCAGCCTCAGCCTTTGGGGTACATCAAAGCAAAACAAGAGCCTTGGAGACACCCAGAAGCTCACTCCAGAAGTACAGTGGCAGGCAGAGCAGCCCAAAGGAGCTTGTTTGGGGTGCTCTGGGAAGCTGTGCAGTGTGGGGTGCAGCCATTGTACCAGCATGTGGCATGGAATTACACTGGCTTGGGAGGGAATTAAACCATGGGGAAGAATACTACAGATTTTGGCCAAAATTGGCAATGAGGGAGAGGGGAAGGGAGGGACAGCAGTTACTTGGCAAACATGCTCAGCCCTCCACCTGGATATGTCCTCAGATGGCACCTGGCACAGGGGGGGATGGCAGAGTGCACAGCATGGGGCTCCCAGGGCCGGTGCTGCCCACACTGAGCTGTGCCAAGATGTGTGTGCTGTCCATTAGCACTGCAGTTCTCAGCTTTTCCCACTGGATGAGCACTGATTTTGCCCTAGGTTTCCAGGATATAGAAGGAGCAGGGCTGGCATTGATCGCCGCTTAGGAACTGTGCTCCCCAGCCATGCTGTGTCCCCCAGCAGGGGGAAACGCCCAGCTCACCCTGCACCATGCAGAGACAAGAGCTCTGGGTCATCCCAAGAATTCCAAGCTGTGGGGCTCTGACAGTGGCAACAGGAGATGCTGAGAGATGCTGGTGGGATGCTGAGGGGATGCTGGGGGTTGCATGAGGACAGATCCATCGAGTCCTAGAAACATTTGGGTTGCAATAGGCTTCCAACATCAAGTCCAACCATTAAGCTAGCACTGCTAAGTGCACCACTAAACCATGTCCCCAGGCACTGCATCTGCACAGCTTCCAGATCTGGTTCCCGAGGACTCAGCTCTGTCCCTGGGCATTCTGTTCCACCACTTCACAACCCTCTCCATGAAGAAATGCCCAACCTACACTGATGCAGTGTGAGGCTATTCCCACTTGTCCTGTTGCTCGTTTTTTGGGAGCGGAGACCGACCCCACCTTGCCTCAACCTCCTTACCTGTAGTAAGGAACAATAAGGTGCCCCCTGAGCCTCCTTTTCTCCAGGTTAAATAACCGCAGTTCCCTCTGCCGCACGGAGGGAGATGCTGAGCACGGGGAGGTGCTGGGGATGCGGTGGGACGCTTTAAGAACGCCGCAGGGTTCCGTAGGGACACGGGGGGCAGCCCGGCCGGCTGAAGTCCCCTCTCCCGGCCGATCCCTCCGGGACTACATTTCCCAGCTCCGCCGCGGCCGGGGCGGTGCAGCGCGGGGCGGGCAGCGCGGAGCGGGGGGCGCGGAGAGCGGCGGCGGGGCCCGCGCAGGCGGAGGGAGGCGCGGGGGCGGCGGGGCCCTCTCGGCCCGGTTCGGCTCGGCTCGGCCCGGTGCGCGCCGGGCGGGGATGCGGGAGGGGCGCCGGGAGCGGTTCCCCTCTGCCCGTCCGCGGCCGCGTAAGGGGCGCCCGCGCTGCCGCCACCATGAAGAAGCAATTCAACCGCATGCGCCAGCTCGCCAACCAGACCGTGGGCAGGTAGGGACGGGGACGGGCCGTGCGCCCCGCCTGCACCTGCCCCGCACCTCCACCTGCACCCCTCCTGCTCCATACTTGCACCCCGCCCTCACTCTGCCTGCGCCTTACTTGCACCCTGCCCGCACCCGCCCCGCACCCCAGCTCCGGAGCACATCGCACCCCACCGCTCCCCGACCCCAACCCCAGCCTTCCATCACCCTCCGGTGTTCCCCCCAGCATCCCTGCATGCGGCCGCACCCATCCCTCGAGGGTTCCCCCGGCTGAAGTGCGGGGCTTTGGGGCCGGCGTGGTGCGGGGTGGCACACGTTGGGGTGCCTGTGGGGGTGTGTGGGTGCTGTGATGCTCTCCGGGCCCACGGCCAGACCCGCGGCTTTGCAGGCGGTTGTTGTGTAATTCCTGAGATTTTGCAGCGGTGCGTGGGGGGGGGTGATGGTGGAAGGATTTATTTTTTTTTCTTTTGCGACTCCAGCGCGGCACCGGGGCGGGTGGCACCGGCAATGGGGCAGGGCTGTGTGCGGGCACCCCATTACTGGGGGCTGCTCCTTGTGTCCTCTGTAGGGCTGCCACCGTGCTCCCATGGCTGTACATAGATCCCTCCATCTCTCCGTGCATCCTTCCTTCTATCCCTGCATCCCTCCCTGCATCCACTCTTCCATCCCTCCATCCATTCCTGCATCCATCATCCCTCCATACTCCTCCTTCCCGAGATGAGTGATAGGGACGAGTGGCAACACCTCTGTGCCTCATCCCACAGCGCTGTGCAGTCGCACATCCCCACAGCACGGCCGCAGATGGCTGCAGGTCCCCACCGGCACCGTGCAGCAGGAACACGGGGATGGATGGAGGGGGCTGCGCCGGGCTCGGTTCCATCAAGAGGAGCAGGGACTGGGCTGGAGGGACACATCTGCTGCCAGCACCTTGTGTGCCCCACGCGTCAGCCTTCAAAATGGGGTCACCGCCAGCCCCAGAGCCCTCCTGCCTCGCTGCTGGGCTGGGGGCGGGCACAGCGCTCCGGGTAACGGCCGTCTGGGAGATGCTCGTGGAAGGTGACGCAGGCAGGAGCATGAATTCGCAGCTCGGAGCGTTGCAGGGCGGTTTGTGCTTCGTTCTCCAGGCTGGGGACCGGACAGGGGGAAGCTCTGCTCCGTAGTGCTCACGAGAAGCAGCCAGCCTGTCGCCCATGTTTGCAACGCTCCCGCTCGTGCACAGGCTTCTCAGCAGGCAAATAAATAAGTAATCCTTTGCCGTGCTCTGCTGCAGCACTGCCTTGTGACCGCCTGAGTCTGTGGGTGCGGGGCTGACATCCCTGCGGTGCTGCCACCTTGGGGACGGGGTCGTGTCCTGGATGGGTGCTGGAGGGTCTGTGCTGCAGATGGATGATATCCCTCAAGTTGCTGTAAGGGGCACTGGGGATGCTGGGGACAGTTTGCTCTGTGCCATGAAGATGGGAGGAGTGCTGATCCCCATGCAAGCCCTGTGGATGTAGTTGCCTTCTCCCCAAGTGAGTGTGGACTGGGGTTGGGGACAGGGGACAAGAGCTGCCATCCCCAGCCCCGTGCTCCTGCCATGGGGCGTGCCTGGGGGGGGGCAGCTGGGTGCTGTGCCCCTCTTTAAGGACATCACTGCCATGGCTTGGGCTAGGCTTGCAGCTAATGGATTGATCCGTCCTGCCACTCCCACACTTGTCCCCGTTGTTACTTTACCTAGCGAGCACCTGAGCCACACACCTGTATTAAAATCATGTTTTGAACAGTGCCGTGACTCGGGGAAACCCCTTTGGTCCCCATTCCAGGAAGCAGCAGCACCCAGAGGAGAGGCACTGCCCCTTCCCCACACAGCTGCCCTTTCCTCAGCACCTCGAGCTTTGGATGGGGGCCAAAGGCTGCGCTGTGCCGTTTACTCCTTTTGTTTACCACGATAGAAAAAGGGGAAGGGCAAGGAGAGAGGGCAGAAGTGAGGAAGGAAATGGCCGCTTGGCACAGCACTGTCCCACTCTGCCATCTCCTCCTGTTGTTCTCTGCTGCCTCCCCTCCTGCCCCGCTGCACCTTCCTGGTCTCAAGGCTGGCTCTGCCCCTGCTGCCCCTCACAGTCCTTTTCCCAGCCCTCTTATAAAAATAAACACACATTGCTGTGAGAATCCTGGCTTTGCTTAAAGGAGGTGGAGAACCAGAGGTGCTCATCCCTGGGACACACTCAGTGCCCAGCCTGGAGCATCACCCAGCCTGGATGTGGCTGGTTTGTAGGGGATGTAATATGTATCTCCATGGGGTGAAAAGAGGGAAGAGAGAGATCATTGAGTGGCTGTGATGCTCACTGAGTGTTGCTGCTTTATTCCTGTGCTTCCCCATTCCATCTGTGGGGCTGCCAAGGCCATGGGGAGCAGCTGTGATGCTGCTCCTGCACACACAGCACCCGCCAGGTTTCCAGAACTGTCTGAGTGCCGATTTCTCTCTGTCAGGAAGAGAACGGGCAGCAGCAGCCTCATGCAAAGTGACACTCCTGGGTGCCTGAAGGTACAGCAGGCAGCTGGGAATGCAGTCGTGGGGGGGAGGAGGCGGGGGGACGTGTCCTCCTTGGAGTTGTTTTGGAATGGCTTTGGGGGGCAGCAAGCTCTGTTCCTGGGCATAGCCATTTCCTCAAGCATTGGGATGCCTACGCTTCAAGCTACAGGCTTTAAATAGAGAGGCTTTTTTCTGCATGCAGCCTTGCAAGAAGCAAGGATGGAGGGAGTGAGGACGAGCTGCATCTCCAGGGATTTTCCGATGGGGTTTGCAGCAGGGCACAGCGTGCTGTGTGTTGCGGGGTGCAGCTTACTGTCAGCCTGCAGCCCCTCATCCCACTGCCCACCCCAGGCAGACCCTGGGCTCACTGGGCTCGGGGAGCAGAGATGTGGTGGCAGCGGACGCAGGCATCCAGCCGGGTATTTTTATCCTCCTCAGCCGACAGCGCTGGCGAATGGAGCAATGAAATATTAATGGAGCAGTCTGAATGTTTTGTCCCCAAATTGCACATAAATCACCGTCACTCCTCCCGGCTCCCCGAGCCTGCAGGGATTTGCCAAATCCATGTGCTGGGGTGGGGGCAGGAGATGCACGCAGGGTCTGGCCCTGGTTCTGCGTGGTCCTGGCGGCAGCTCTGCACGCAGGGCTGTGCCTTAATTAAAGCCTCCTTCTGACTCATTCCCCATCAGCAGAGCCAAGCAGTGCCCTGGGTTACCCGAGCTGCACGCTGAACCGTGCTTGGCAAAACCTCACCCAGGGGTGCCGGCACCCAGGGGTGCAGGTGGAGCTGCTGGAGGCAGCTGTGGGGCAGGGAACTGCTCAACCCTGCCCTCCTTCCTGTCCTTGGGAGCCCGTCCTTGGCACTGCAGGCTGTCTGTGGGATGCAAGGCAGCCCCCGCGGCTGACAGACCGTATCCCAGCTGCATTGACTCTGGGGGATGGTTTTCCCATTTGGGGAGAATATTGCAGCAAAATGCTGAATGGGATTTGAGATGGCCAAAATACGAGGCTGTGTTTCTTGTGTTGGATGGTTGGTGCATCCCCAAAGCTCACTCTGTGGTGAAGCATAGCTGTATAGTGATGTCCATACATGGGGATATCCGTGTGTGGAGGCACTGTGGCAGGATCTGGAGCGCTCCTCCACCCCTCCCAGTGCCACAGCAGCAGGGCTCAGCCCTGGGGAAGCCATCTCACACTGGTTTGGGAGCATGTTGTGATGTGGAAGCCTGGATTCTGCCTCCTGGTGCTGGGATGAGATGCTCAGGGGAATCAGACGGCTCGCTGCAGCTCCTGGGTCAGTGCGCAATTTTGTGTTGGAAGATTATGTAGTGTTTATCACTAAATCAAATTAATTTGCTCGATAGGTGTTGATTTCCAGTGGCAACAATTAGTTTTCACAGAAGCCAACGCCAAGCAAATTGTAGCCTCATCCCCCGCTCGTTTGCTTCCAACTCCATGTACTAATTGTCCCCTTTCTCCCAGATGCTCGCAGGGGCCCAAGAGTCTGCATGGTGACCGAGGCCGAGAATTGCCTGGATTTGTGCTGAGAAAAACAGCTCTGGGGTGGGAGTGTGGAGGGGAAGGGGAGGAGCATGCTCTGTGCCTGGCGGAAAGATGGGAGAGTGCACAGAGCTGCTAATCCCCCCTGCCCAGCACAGTGCATAGTCTGGGCACTGGGGGGGTCGGGGACATTCCTGGGGCATGGGGTTCGGCTGCAAGAAGCTGTGCTGCTGTCAGACTGCTTTCCCAATGGGTTTCTTTGGATGTGAGTGAGTTTTTGTAGGGCAGCGTTATTGGAAGCACCCGTGGGGGACAGTAAAGCCACCACGAAGCAGGGAGGAGGCACAGCAGCCCTTCCAAAGCTGTGTTCATTATAGGCTGAGGTGCTGGAAACATCATGGGGAGAATGGGATTTTTCCGGCTCAGAGCTGCAATGCAATCTGATGTCAGTGGAGTAAGATGATGTGATTTTTTTTTTTTCCTTATAGTCTTTACGTGTGAAAAAGCAATCTGGAATGGCTTGTTCTGGGCTGATGTGCGTTTGGAGATGCTGCTTGGTTCTCACACCCCTGGGTGTCATCTCCAGATTCTGGAGCGCTGCCGGTGGGAGCAAACAGGGATGAGATGAATTGATTCTGGGTTTTTCTCAGTGTTCTGGAACAGAAACAGGAACCTTCAGATAGAGGAGCAGGAAAAGGACTCTCAGCCTTCTTTTCTCCCCCCTCTGCAAAGCTGGGCTGTTTGCTGGTGGGCTCCCAACCCACGCAGTGCCCTGCGGCCAGGCAGGGTGTGGGTGCTGGGCTGGGTGTTACGGGCATGGAGGTTTTCTTGTGCTCCAAGTGCTTGAAAGCAGACCAAGGCCAGATTTTGTTAGCCCATGTGCAATGTTGTTTTCTGCTTCCTGCACATGCATTACAGCCTAGCACATGGTGTTTTGTGACGGCTGGGAGAGATCTGCTGGAGCTGGACAGCCCCAGGCATGCAAACCCACAGTTAGGCTGTCCAGAAAAGGAGAAAGCACATAAAATTGTTGCTTTTTTTGGAGCGTTTTCTGAATGGTGATGGCTGTTTGCATGGACGTGAGTGAGGAGCAGATTGCTCAGTGCACCCTGGGGCTGAAGTGGGGATGGGGCATGGAGGAGGTGGCAGCCATGCTTTGCTCCCAGAGCTGTGAATGGGTGAATGTGCACAATGTTCTCATGTCTTTCTGCTCTCTCCTTCCTCTCCATGGAAGTCGAATAGAGCACCATGTTTGCTCTATCTGCTTCTGTGCAGCAGATCCACGATCATGAACGTGTTCTGCTCCTGGTGCCTGGGATGGGGAGCACTGTGTGGGTGCTGTGCGTAGGTTTGCCCTCTGTTGCCTTTGGGTTTTTGCTGCTTTCTCTCACGTTCAGGATAATTTTGCACAATTTCCAACCCTGCCCAAAAGAACTGAAGGTGATCTGCAGGAGATGAGTAAAATCTGAGCAGCTCTTGCTTTTGTTTTGGTTTGGTTTTAAATGCAAGGGATCCAAAGCGACCGCCTTCCCCAGTGGCTCATTTCTCACCTACCCTTATGGCTGGACATAAAAATCTTTGCTTTTCTACACGGCTGCCTTCATCCATCTCCATCTGTACACAGGTGGGCACAGGTGTTAGCACGGTGCCTTGAAAGTGCTTAAATAATGCAAGGCATGGATGACTGATGGGATTTCACTCTGGAAGGCAGAGTGACAGCTCCATGAAAGGGTTTGGGAGTGTCCCAGAGGAGCATCCAGACCCCTGGGGCCGTACCCCCAGCAGGTGAAGAGCTGATCCATTGCTCTCCAAATACAGGAGATCACAATGCATGTATCTAAATCCATTTTTTTAATGGAACCAGATGGACTCTCTGTGCCTCTTTCAAATAAACTGCCTTAAATTGGACACTATGACAAGTTTCATATGCAAGCCAGATTTAGCACTGTTAATTCACATTTCCAGAAAGACTTTGAGCTCAGCGTGCTCGCCAACGACCTCACAGACGTCCTTGCCCTGCTGGGAGCTGTGCTGCTGCCACAGCCTTTCAGCTTTTTCTCCATTATTCTTCACTGCACTGGAACAGGTTGCCCAAGCAGGTTGTGGATGCCCCATCCCTGCAGGCATTCAAGGCCAGGCTGGATGTGGCTCTGAGCAGCCTGGTCTGCTGGTTGGCGACCTGCACACAGCAGGGGGTTGGAACTGATGGGCATTGTGCTCCTTTGCAACCCAGGCCATTCTATAGTTCTATCATTCTATCATTCTATGATTCACTTCCACTTTCACATTCTTTATTTCCTCTTTCTTGCTCTCTGTTTCCACCTTTTCACTGCTTCACCTCTGCAGCTCGGTCTCTCACTGCTGAGAAAACAGTCTTGGATATTGGAAGGCAAGGAGAGCTGGGGCAGTTTGGGTGCTGTTTGAAAGGAGGTCAGAGGATGTGGCTGTGCTGCAGCCTCGTGTTAACCAGTGCTGAAGATGGAGAGCATAACTGACCTTTGCATTTTAGCTCAGTTCCACGCTCTGTCCAAGCGCATCATGGCACAGATAGGTTTTTTAAAGAAGTAATGATTTACCAAAGCTGTAAAAAGCCCCTCAGGTTATGAACACGCATTACACTGTGCCATGGTGTAACTGATCCCCTATCACCCAGCAGTGCAGCATCAGTGCACGCAGGGTCTGCTGGGTCTGCAGGTAAGTTGTGCACATCTGCCTCTCTGCAGCAAAAACAGCTCCATCCCCAGGGGAGCTCAGCACAGCGCCGGGGCTGGGCACACTGCTCCATCTGGAGCAGAGGGGGACAGTCCCCTCCCCTCAGGACCTCACACTGTCCCATCACCAAGCTCTAATTTCCCACCTTTTCCTGCAGGGCTGAGAAGACAGAGGTGCTGAGCGAAGATCTCCTGCAGGTGAAGTGCTGCTGCCTGGCTCTGGGTGTGGGACGTGGCTGTATTGGCTTTGGGTGCAGTTCTTGGCCGTGGCTGTCCTTGGGGAGGGGGGTCACACCTGGGGTGGGAGATGCTGGGGGACAGTGGCACTATGTGGGCTGGTTGTTATCCCAGATGATCCTTCAGATGTTGTGCTTTCTGCTTCACTGCTCATTTCCACCCCCCCACCCCCGATGCTCCTGGCTTTGTTTTTGGGCAGATCGTGTTTGCTGACGCTCAGTGACTCATCTCACTGAGCTTTGGGATCAACTTCCCAGCTCAGCCAAGGCCATGGCAAACCGGGCAGCTCTCAGCCCCGGGTGTGGGGAGGTCCACCGGTTTGGATCAAGCAAAGCCCTCCTGGGGAGAGAAGCTCTCAGCCAAACTCCCTTTGGTTGGAAGAGTCCCACAGGATGGGACAGGGCGGTGATGGCCACCTCTACGCCCACAGGTGGAGAAGCGGCTGGAGCTGGTGAAGCAGGTATCCCACAGCACCCACAAGAAGCTGACAGCATGCCTGCAAGGCCAGCAGGGCGTGGATGCCGACAAGCGCTCGGTGAGCTCTGCAGATGGGTGCAATGTCTGTGCCATGCTGAGCGCATGGGGTGCCCTGCGCTGTGCAGGACCTGACGGCACCGCGCTCCCTTTGCAGAAGAAGCTGCCGCTGACGACGCTGGCGCAGTGCCTGACGGAGGGCTCGGCCGTGCTGGGCGATGACTCCCTGCTGGGGTAAGAGGTGCCGGTGTCACCGTGTCCCTGTGGCACTGCTGTCCCCACTCCCCCCCCTGCCCCAGCCGTGCGTGCCTTGCAGGAAGATGCTGCGGCTGTGCGGGGAGGCGGAGGACAAGCTGGCGCAGGAACTCATCCAATTCGAGCTGCAGGTGGAGAGGGACGTCATCGAGCCGCTCTTCGTGCTGGCTGAGGTGGGCATGGCTGGCTGTCCCCGCTGTGGGCTCTCCTGTCCTCCTTGTGCTGCTCTTTTCTGCTTTCCTGAAGGCAGAGGAGTGTATGCTTGTATTGCTGAAACACGTTTCCAAGCAAGGTTGTTGTTTGGAGATTTTTTTTCCTCCTGATGCCAACTCTCTGGGTTTTTTTTTCTTTTTAATTTCGCTAAATGCTCTTTTTCCCCCCCACCCTCTTTAATGTCTTGTGAAATGCCATGGGCTCCATTCTGGTTTCATCTTCCCTCAACTTTATGGAACTGACACCGGGAGAGGCGAGCAGGGCCAGGCTGAGCTCTGGGGCTTTCAGGCGTTGCAAAGCCCTTGGCACACGCTGTCGGTGCATGACAAGACTTGCTGCTGTGCTGGCACATGCTGGCAGCCTTTTTCTGCCTTCAGCCGGCCTTCCTGGCACAGGAAAGATGACCAAAGGATGCTTCTTTTAGGGATGGAATTTTTACACGTGTGTTGGGATGGAGGGGCTTTGTGCATCACAGAGGAGGGGTTGGCGGCACTGCCTTCCCAACGCTGCAGTGATTCAATGGATGTTTTTCTCTTCCCCCACCCCTGTGTTGCTGCAGGTGGAAATCCCAAATATCCAGAAGCAGAGGAAGCACTTAGCGAAGCTGGTGCTGGACATGGACTCCTCGAGGACGAGGTGGGAACCGTGGCTGAGCTGGCTGCAGGGCCAGCATCACTCGTTTTGTGGGGCTTCCCCAGTGCTGCCCTGGCCAAGGGCCAGCAGCCTTGGGAGATCACAGCTGTGTCACTGTGTGCCTTGAAGTCAAGCTCTGCAACGAGCCAATATTTCTGCTCTTCTCCTTCCATCCATTCTGCAGAGGAGATGTTTTTTCTGGCCCAAGTCTTTATTTTTAACTCTGTCTGGCTGAATTGTTGCATGGAGGCAAAGAATCAGTTGTGTCTACTGCTGTAGAGCAGTGCTGGGGTGGCAGAGCTCTGCTGGGGCTGTGGGATGTCCTCTGGTATCACCCCATGTTCTGGGTGATGCTGTGGTGGGACCCGGGGGCTGCAAATGGGGCAGTTCCTGAGGCAGTTTGCAAACACTTGAAAAACAGCTGAGTTTGCCCATTCCTGCACAAGGAGACAAGTGCAGGGGTGTCTGCAGGGCTGGGGCATCAATGCCCCGTTGCTGCCCCATTACTTCCCTTTCTCATCCCACCTGCCTGAGGCTCCTTCTAGAAATGATTGCTGAATTGGAGCTGGAGATATTTGTGGCTGGGATTAGCTCATGCATTCAGCACAGGTTGAGACCCTCACCATGGTGCTCAGCCCTGTGGACCACCGTGGTCTGGCAGAGGGTCCCGAGGCTGCCCTCAAGCTCTGTGTGTCCCCTGTGTCCCACTGACACGGCCCTGTGTCTACAGGTGGCAGCAGTCTGCAAAGTCCTCGGGGCTGTCGAGCAACCTGCAGCCATCGGGTGCCAAAGCCGATGCTCTCAGGGAGGAGATGGAGGAGGCAGCGAACAGAGTAGAGATTTGCAGGGTACTGCTGGGATGGGGTCAACCCGGGTTGTGATGGAGGTGTGGGGGGGGAAGGGTGCAGTGTTGGGGCACTGTGGTTTAGGGAAACCTGCTCCACATGCAGCCAGGGCTGCAGCATCCCCTTGCAGCTCAGTGGGAAGCCTGCACTGAATCACCCCACTGCCTCTGCCAGACCCACTGACCACCAGAAACCCCTCCCCTTGCTGGTCCCCTGTCCAGAGCAGCCCAGTCATAGCCCTGACCCTCTTCCTGCACTCACTGGACGCTGTGGGGTGTTTGTGCACAGCATGTGCCACTCCCAAAAGTAGGTGCCATCCCAGATCTGGGTGATGCTTGCCAGCTGTGGTGCCTCTGTCACCTGCATCCCATGGCCCTCAGGAGCCTGAAAGCATCCCATCCCCGGGGGTCAGGGAGCTCCTCACTGCTTACACTGAGCCCTGTGGGGACAAATTGCCCCTAGCAGGGACACAGCCAGTACTGGAGTGGCCTCAGAAATCTGCTCCATCCCCGTGCTGGCTGTGTTCCTGCGTGGAGTCAGGAGCTGGGCTTGATCCTTGTGGGTCCTTTCTAACTCAGGATGTTCTGTGGTTCTATGAAGGAGCTGCAGAGTGTATTGACAAGGCACGAGGGCAGGGGTCTTTGCAGACACCAAAGTATGGGAGGATGAAGTGCAGCAGAAGGCAAAGTCAAGTGATGCTGCTGGTTGTGTGGCATCTGGGCACACCTCTGTGCTGCGGGTGCAGGGAGGGAGCCTGGGGTCAGTGCTCACGTTGTCACCCACGGGCAGTGATGGCCATCGTGGTGCTTGGTGTGAGCTCCTGCCTCTGTGCTCCTACAGGACCAGCTCTCGGCTGACATGTACAGTTTCGTGGCCAAAGAAATAGACTATGCAAACTACTTCCAAACGGTGAGCACTGTGCTGGTCCCCCATCCCACTGTGCACTGTGGCTGCCCTACCCCCTGCCCTTGCTGTGGCAGTGACGTTGGGTGCAGTCTGTGCCATCTCTCTGCAGCTGATCGAGGTGCAAGCCGAGTACCACAGGAAGTCACTGGCACTTCTGCAGAATGTGCTGCCTCAGATCAAGGCCCAGCAGGGTGAGTGCATGCAGGACTCAAGGCAGGTGGTGGTGAGGTGGGAGCTGGGGGTGCAGAGCCCATCACCTCGCCTTGCAGGGTGGCTTTGCAAGGAGGCTGAGGCATCACCCCGCAGTGTGGCATGATGCAGCCGTGATCCCCTTTGTCCCTGAGCTGGGGGAATGTCCCCATCCCATGGGGTCACCGCACTGTCCCCCCCTGCAGCCACCCAGTCTGGGCAGGGAGTGACCTTTGTGTTCTCCCCTCTTGAGCATTAGGATCAGGAAATGTGATCACATTTTGCATGGATTTCACCATTATAATGCACTTTGGAGTTGGCTGGGCTGGAAACTCAGGGTTGTGGTGTTGCAACAACACTTTAACACCTGCTGAACCCCTGAGCTGAAGCCCAGGGCAGGGTGAGGAGGACGCAGGGTGCATCCTGTCAGCCCTGTGCCCTCACAGAAGCGTGGATGGAGAAGCCGTCCTTTGGGAAGCCGCTGGAGGAGCACCTGGCTGTCAGTGGGCGAGAGATCGCCTTCCCAGTGGAGGCCTGTGTCACCATGCTGCTGGAGTGCGGCATGCAGGAGGAGGTGGGTGCCCATGGCGACGGCCCCAGCTGCATCCCGTGCCACGGGGATGAGTGGCCAGGAGGGATCCGGGGTTTTTCCCCTGGCGCCGACGCTGTCCTGTGTGCTGTGCCAAGGGCCTGTTCCGTGTGGCTCCCTCTGCCTCCAAGCTGAAGAAGCTGAAGGCTGCCCTGGACTGCTGCGTGGTGGACGTGCAGGAGTACTCAGCTGACCCGCATGCCATTGCAGGTGGGGATTGTGGGGGCTGTTGGCCGGGGGCTGCCCCAGTGCCCAAAGGGTGCTGCTCTGCTCCTAGGGGCTGCTTTCAAGCCCAAATCTCACTGGGTGTGTGCATCTCAAGTGACCCCAGGTTTCCCTCCCCACGTGGCTGTGCTGAGCAGGAGATGCTCTGCAGGAGCAAGGGGCGGTCAGGGATGAACATGCATCCTAATGGAGTTTGCAGTCTTATCTCTGCTGCTTCTGTGGCAGTGCAGGGTGCTCCCTCCATGCAGAGCCCAGCCTGCTGTGCTGTGTTAAGCATTAGTTTGGTTTAAATGCAAATGAACTTTTCCCTTTCCTGTTGTGCTGCAAGGTGTGGGCTCTGGTTCCTATCAGGGAAGGCACTGAGTGCCTTCATGGGGCTGTGCTGAGCTGGAGGGCATGGGGTGCCCACAGCATGGGGCAGTGCTGGGCGTGTGACTGGCAAAAGGGAAACAGAGGGGCTGGGGGAGGTACGAGTGAGAGGGGGGAAGCTACGAGGGGAGAGGTGGGGTGAAAATTCAGTGGGAGCTGGGTTTCAAGGAGCCTCCATGAAACCTAATGTGCTGCAGGAGCACTCAAGTCCTACCTGCGCGAGCTGCCAGAACCACTGATGACATTCGAGCTGTACGAGGAGTGGATCCAGGCCTCCAAGTGAGTCCAGAACGGGAAGTGGTCTTGGGTCTGAATTTCAGGAGGGTCCTAACAAGCAGATTTTTGACCCATGGCAGTTCTCTCTGGGGCGAGGGTGCTGAGCACAAGGCTTGTAGCCCACATGCAGAGGCTGCTGGCACTCCTGTGCACCCATCTGGGCATTTTCCTTGACTTATTTCTGACCCATTGGCCAACGTTTGCGTCCAGGGGCTCTTAGTGATGTTCCTTGGGCATGCCATGCTTAAGCAGCAAGGATGGCCTTGGTGTAGATGTGTATGCAGATGCTCATCTATACAGTGGCTGGGTAAAGAAATGAGTACCCTGATGTGAAACATAGTGGGTTGGTGTTTTGGGGACTTGGGGACACGCAGCTCTTGCCCTCCCATAGCATCCCAGAGCAGGAGAAGAGGCTGCAGGCCCTATGGAATGCCTGTGAGAAGCTGCCCAAGGCCAACTACAACAACATCAGGTGAGCACGGGGCAGTGAGGGGCTGTGCTGGGGCTGCAGAGGGCACGTCCCACCTCACCATGCCTGCACTCACGCCTCCAGGTACCTGATCAAATTCCTGGCCAAGTTGACTGAATACCAGGACATGAACAAAATGACACCAAGCAACGTGGCCATCGTGCTGGGTCCCAACCTTCTATGGCCACAGGCTGAAGGGTAGCGTATGGCCATGGGCTTGCATGATACAAGGGTGCAAGGGGGTAACGGGGGTGAAGCCACAGTTCTGGGGCATGGATGTAGGGCCAGAAGTTTGTTCCCACGATGTGGGAGCAGCCCCTGCACTCCAGGAGGTGCTGCAGAGCAGAGAGAGGTAGAGCCAAGGGATGGGGGGCTGCAAATCCCAGCAGGGAGCGGGGTTGGGGCATGGTGGGATGGCAAGCCATCGAGCCACTATCTGCTGTGTTGCAGGAATATCACGGAGATGATGACGACCGTCTCCCTGCAGATTGTGGGCATCATTGAGCCGCTCATCCAGCACGCCGACTGGTTCTTCCCTGGAGGTGGGCTGGGCCCCATGCTGCTTTGGGATGGGATGGGATGGAATGGGATGGATGGGATGAGGTGGGATGGGATGGGATGGGATGGATGGGATGAGGTGGGATGGGATGGGATGAAGTGGGATGGATGGGATGAGGTGGGATGGGATGGGATGAAGTGGGATGGATGGGATGAGGTGGGATGGATGGGATGAGGTGGGATGGGATGGGATGGATGGGATGAGGTGGGATGGGATGGGATGGGGTGGGATGGGGTGGGATGCAATGAGATGGAGTGGGATGGATGGGATGCAGTGAGATGGAATGGGGTGGGATAGCATTGGATAAGCTTCATGTGTCCTGGGTGGGTGAGAGCACCAACTCATGACTCATGCCAGCAGTGGGATGCACCCAGCTACTCCATGGCTCCGTTGTGGGCAACTCTGTGGTTTAGATAGTTCCAGGAGCACCTCCACCCTGCATCCCAGTCCCTTGCTGGGGACACGCGGGCTGATGTCCATCTCTCACTTTTCCACGCAGACATTGAATTCAATGTCACTGGCAATTATGGCAGCCCCATGCACGTGAACCACAATGCCAACTACAGCTCCATGCCCTCCCCAGACATGGACCATGCTGACCGCAAGCAGCACGACCAGGCACGGCGGCCACTCAGTGTGGCCACGGATAACATGATGCTGGAGTTTTACAAGAAGGATGGGTAGGGCCTGTTTGGGACTGGGGGACGGGGAGCTGGCATTGCCCCCCAGGGTTGGAGTCGCGTGCAAGATGGAGTTGGGTGGTTCCAATGGGGGGACCCTGCAGCCCGTGCTGGGGATGCATTCTTCCCCCAGGGATGCTGAGATGAGATATGGGGGCACTTGGATAAGATCTAAAGATGCTTGGATGAGACCTGGAAATGTCGCATCCCCAGACCTGCTGGGCGTGGGAGCAGGCTGGCCCCTGTATTACCTCCTGTGCCCTTCTTGTGCTATGGACCCAGTTCTGAAACCTGCACCGAGGCTTCCCCATCTCCAGCACATGTTCCTCCTACCATGTCCTACCAGTGCCGATATTCCAAGCCCCTTGTCTTCTCAGCTCTTTTTCCAAGCTTTGCACCCTATGTCTGGTTTTAGGTTATTTACCACTAATAACCATCTGTTTCTGTCCATGCAGCCTTAGGAAAATCCAAAGGTACGGTGTTCTCTGCGGCAGTTCCGGGCGGGTGCTGGGAGGATGCTGGTACTGAGGCGAAGGGTGATATGGCTGGTGACACCAGCCTGTCCTGCAAAGCCATCCCACCCTGTTGCCATGGGGGTTTATTCCCAGCAGCTTCCCAGTGGAGGAAACATTTGCAGGGGCTCAATGGGAGCTGCATTGGGCTGGGACACCAGCGGTGCCTTAGCGCGGTCCCGTCTTGCCGTGCGGGTGCTGAGGCTCCATCTCTGTCCCCAGCATGGGTGTCAGGGTGATGGACACCTCGTGGGTGGCACGTAAAGGCACCTCAGGAGCACGCAAGACACCTGCTACCCCACCGGCCACTCAGCCACCTGCACCACCCGCCGAGCTGCCCGCCACGCCGCACTCACCCATCCCTGAGCAGGTTCCTGATGTGTCAGCAAGCCCCTCATCTCCTGCCACCAGCTTTGGCTTCCCGCCCGCAGCCGAGCGGGCAAGGTATGGACCTGTGTCCCTATGTGTCTGCGGCACGCTTGTCCCCGTGGTGTCCCTCTGGTGTCCCGGTTGGGACCAAGCAGAGCTGGGTTTCCCCACGGGACTCTTGCACTCACAGTCGTAAGCTGTAAGCTGCTGGGCTTGCAGTGATCAGAGCAAAATCCTAAAGGAGCCTTGTGTTCCCTGAGCTCTTTCTTTACCCAAAATCCACGTCCTCCTGTGGTCCACATAGGTCAAAATGGAAGAAAGCACCTACGTTGCGCCATCCTGCCCCAAAATGGGGAGCCTTCCTCTCCTGCCACCCTGCAGGGCTGCTGTGTGGCATGGCAGAGTGCTGGCCAAGCACCCATGGGTTTTGTTAGGGCCCAAGAGCTGTGTTCCGGTGCAGGGCCATGCTTGGAGCAATCCTACCTGCAGCCCCGGGTACCCCACAGCCTCTCCCTGTAGTGGGGTGCCGTCAGGTTGCCGCCGCTGTGCCACTGCTGTCTCGCTTCAGTGCCCTTTGTGCCAGTCTGCTTCTGCATTGCTCTCATCCCCTGTAACATGGTGACCCATCCTGGTGCTGCTGCCTTCACCCCATCCCTCCTCCATCCCTATGTAGGGCTGCTGGTGGCACCTGCACACCAGGGGGACATGCCAAGGGCTCCATCCCAGCGATGGAGCTCCCTCCCCAAAGGGCTCTGCAGCCGTGTGGAAGGGGCTGTCCTCCAAGCTTCCCCTGTTTTGATGTTGACCTCCCCTCTGAGCAGCCCCAGGACCCCTGCTGGGGCTGTTCCTGCTCCCCTTGTGCTGCTGCCTTGCTGCTGCTCTCGCTTCCCTATCCTGCTGATGCTTCTGCTCACGTCTCTTTTTATTTTGTTGTTCTATCGTTTTGCTGTTCTGTGATCTTTTTGGACATTTTGCAGCACGCGTGGTGTGCCGCCCGCCTGGCCGGATTGCTGCTACAGCCTTCCCTGCCCCGAGGACAAGCGGGGGCCCCCGGCCCCTGGTCCCCATCCCTGTCCCCTGCCCTGGACACAACCTGCACTGCGCCTCTGGCCGGGTTGCAGCCAGAGCCTTCCTCCCTCCCGTTCTTCCTCCTCTTCCTCCTGCTCCCCCCGGCCACTCACCCCCCACCCTCGCCCCAAGCCTTGCTCCCTGCTGGTCCCCACACCACGCTCTCTTGCCCCATGGCACTGCCCACTCCCTATCGCCGCCCCACTGCTCCTCCCCAGCCCCCGGTCCCACATGCTGCCCTCTCCCCCCGGGGGCGGCCGCATGCCTGCGGGAGCCGACCTGGCCAGGTAACTACCCTTGCCACCATGGCTGTCCCTTGTCCCTGCTGTCTTCAGGGAGATGGCTGCTGGCCCTGTGTTGGCTTGGCTGCAGCATGGCCTTTGTGCTAAGAAATTGCTTTAAATTGCAATTAAAGCACAGCAACTCAATGGGTGCCCTTGAGCACCGTGGCCCCATTGCACAAGGATGCTGCCGGTGCTGGGCTTTGGGTGCAGGGCTTTGGGAGCAGAGCTTCTCACTGCCATCCCTTACCCCCACAGCACACTAAAGCCCAAGGAGCTGTCCCCCATTTCCACAGCACAGAAGGGTGGTGGGCAGCAGCCCATGGCCACACCATCATCTCCCGCCGAGCAGAGCCCACGCGCCCCACGCAAAGGTGGGTACCTGGCTGCGTGCCACCCTCCAGTCCCCTGACCGCTGTGCATCTGTCTCTCCATCCTCCTGTCTGTCTCTCCCGCAGCCTCCAAGAAGCTGGCGCCCATCCCACCCAAAGCGCCCTCCTCAGGGGGCACATCGGAGCCGCCGGCGGGCCAGCCATCCCCCGGCAGCCTGTCCCCAACCCCGCCAGGCACCCCCGCGCCCTATGGACTCGCTTACCCGCAAGGCTACTGCCTGGCCTCAGGTCAGCTGTCCCCAGCCGCCGCACCTTCCCCGTCTCCTCCTCCTCCTCCTCTTCCTCCCCTGGGCAGCTCTGTAACCAAATCTCGACCCGTCCCCAAGCCGAGGCAGAGGCCCTCGCTGCCGCCGCCGCAGCCCCCCACGGCCAGCGCGTCCGGCTCTAGCCCCCAGCCCACGGAGCCCCCCCTGCTCGACGCCGTGGCCCCCGGGGAGAGCGTGCCCACAGGTAACCCAGCCGCCGCGGGACGCAGCCGGGCTGCGCCGGGAGCTCAGAGCGCTCTTGGACACGGCCGCTGCCCAGGGACACCGTGGGGACCCTGCGGCACTGCCGAGTCTGCAGGATGGCTGCTTGTGCCCTGGGGTTTGGTGGCAGCGTGGCTGGGAAGATGGCAGCATCCATGGGAAAGTGATGATGTGCCCAGGAAGGTGATGGTCACCTTGGAAAGGTGGCAGAGTCCTTGGGAAGGTGGCAATGTGTCCAGGAAGGTGATGGTCACCCTGGGAAAGGGACAGTCATTGAGAGTGGGGCAGTGACTTGGGAAGGTGGCAAAGTCCCTGGCATGGTCACAAGGTTCCTGGGAAGTTGGAAATGTACTCAGAAAGGTGGTGACATCCTTGGGAATGTGTCAGGGTCCCTGGGAAGGTGACAGTGTGCCTAGAAAGGTGACAGCCACCTTGGGAAGGTCACAAGGTCCTTGGGAAGGAAGCAATGTGCCCAGGAAGGTAACAGTAACCTTGGGAAGGTCACAATGTGCACAGGAAAGTGACGGTGACCTTGGGAAGATGGCAGCATCCTTGGACAGTGGCAAAGTCTTTGGAAGGTGGCAAGATCCCTGGGAAAGTGACAGTATGCCCAGGAAGATGACAATATGCCCAGGAAGGTGACAGCAACCTTAGGAAGATGGCAGCATCCTTGGGAAGGTGACAGTGACATTGGGAAGGTGGCAAGGTCCCTGGGAAGGTGACACTGTGCCCAACAATGTGCCCAGGGAGGCAACAGTGAGCTTGGAAAAGTGGCAGCATCCTTGGGGAAGGTGACAGTGTCTCCAGGATGGTGACAGTGACCTTGGGAAGGTGGTGAATTCCCTAGGAAGTTCACAAGGTTCCTGGGAAGTTGGAGATGTACTCAGAAAGGTGGTGACATCCTTGGGAAGGTGTCAGGGTCCCTGGGAAGGAGACAGTGTGCTTAGAAAGGTGACAGCCACCTTGGGAAGGTCACAAGGTCCTTGGGAAGGAAGCAATGTGCCAAGGAAGGTAACAGTAGGTGAAGGTGGCAGTGTGCTCAGAGAGGTGGCAGCGTCCTGGGGAATGTGGCAATGCACATGGGACGATGACAAGGTCAGTCCTCAAGAAGGTAACATGGGCTCCTGGAAAGATGACAGTGTGCCCAATAAGATGGCAGTATCCCTAGGAGGACAGCCGGGTTCCTGGTAAGATGACAGTGTCCTTGGGAAGGTGACAAGATCCTTGGGAAGGTTGCAATGTGCTCAGGAAGGTGGCACTGCCCAAGGGAAGGTGGCAGTGTGCCCAGGAAAGTGACAGTGTGCCCAGGAAGGTGGCATTGTCCTCAGGAAGGTGGTAATGTCTCTGGAAAGGTAGCAGCATCTTTGGGAAGGTGGCATTGTCCTCAGAAAGGTTGTGACATTGCTGGGAAGGTGGCAGTGTTCCCAGGCAAGAAGGCAGTGTCCTCACAAAAGGTGGCTGTGTCCCTGGGAAGATGGCAGTGTGCCTGGGAAGAAGGCGGTGTTCCCAGAAAGATGCCAATGTCCCATAGGCAGGTGGCAGTGCCTCCACAAAGGTGACAGTGTCCCCAGGAAGGTGGCAGTGTCTGGGAAAGGTGGCAAGGTCCCCAGGACAGCTCTGATGCCACACCCACTGTGCGCCATGCTGGGTTTTGTGCCCGTCCCCCCTGTGCTGTCCGTGCTGCAGAGCCAAGTGTGAGGGGGCAGCACTGGGGTCAGCATGAGTATCCCCATCTCCTAAGCAGTGCTGTCCCCAAGGGCCAGCCCCTACGTGCAGCTTCAGCATCACATAGTGATGCCTTGCCCATGGGGACACTTTGGCAGTGGGGATGCTCTGGGGACACCATCCCGGTCACCCAGCTGGCAGCTGGGCTGGCGGTGATGCTCACTGCGTGCAGCCCTGCCTGTGAGGTCGGACTGAACAGGGGAGCTGTGTGGAGATGGGTTGGACTTTGATGGGCATCATACCCCAGCACTGGTATGTTCCCATTGTGCCCAGCTGTGGGTGCACCCAGACATTGTGCCCAAGCATCAGCACACTCACGCACGAGTGCAGCCCCAGTACTGCATCTCAGCATTGCACACAGGCAAGGGTGCATTCTGGCATTGTGCTCTAGCAGTACACCCCATGGCAGTACATCCAAGCATGGGTGAAATCTCAGTATTGCACCCTGGCTTTGTATCCACACATCAGTGCACTCAGGCACACCAACACTGCATCCAAGCACTGGTGTAACCCCAGCATTACACCCCAGTGTTGCACCCAGGCACTGGTGCAGTGCCACACTGGTGCAGCCAGGCACTTCACACCAATATTGCATCCAGGTACTGGTGCAACCCCAGCATTGCGCCCCAGGATTTTATTCTTGCTTTGGTGCAGCCAGACACTGGTGCAACCCCAGCATTACACTCCAGCATTGCACCCAGTGCTTCCCCAGCACTGCATTCCCATATTGGCGCACTCAGGCATTGCATCCCAGCACTGCGTGCAGGCATTGCCTTGAAGCCTGCAGCTACTGGTGAAGCCAGGCAGGAGCAGCGGTTGTCCTTGGGGTGACTTTCTCCAGGCTCAGCAAAGGCCAGCAACATGCTGCCACGTATGGGGACACACAGGTGGGGACAAAAGCCCCATGCTTCCCCTCCAGCCACAGTGCTGAGCACACAGCACCCATCACGGCACACAATGGCACGTGCCCCTCTCGCCACGCTCTGCAGCCCCTCACGCCGCTGTCTGTGCCTGCCGCAGGTCTGCTGCACTTCGAGCTGCCGTCCATCCACCTGGGGGGCATGGAGGCCACGCTGCGCCGGGACCCGCTGGACGCCGCGCAGAGAGTGCAGCTGAAGGGCCCTGCAGAGGAGGAGGAGGACTCGGAGAGCACGGCCCTATGACGGCGTCCCCTCCGCCCATCCTTGCGGCCCCCAGCCCCGCACCCGGGTGCTGCCAATCTGTAGTGGGGTTCGGTTCGCCTTATCCAGACTTTGCCTTGTGACTCGGTGCCTATGTCCCCCCCGGCACGTCCTCGTGGTGGCAGCGGGGCTGGAGAGGCACCGGAGCCCCATTCCCTTCTGATGTGGGGCAGCAGCCCGGGGTCTCGTCTCCCCGCTCCGTACCCCCATGGCTGGGATATGAGGATAAGCCCATAGCAATAAGGCGGGTGTGGGGCACGGCCCCGTCCCCTGTTTGCTGTCGTCGTGGGTTGGTGGCGTGGAGCAGAGGCTTTGGTTGTGCATGCAAAGACAAAGTCACCTTTTATCCTTTTCAGAGAGATGACATATATATATATCTGGTGGGCATAGATATATATATATTATATATTTGTATATATAGAAATATATATATATATTTGTTTTATTTTGAGCCATTCCATCCAATCTTGGTGTACAAATGGACTATGTCCATGGGAACGCTTCGTGGCCCCGCTCCGTCCCCGTGTGCTGCACTGCCCCGACCCCCCTGGCCCCATTGCTTCTGCACCGCCGTGATGTGACCGTCACCCACAACACGGGGACGGGTGGGGGGGGGGCAGGAGCAGCTGGAATAAATGTGCACATCGCTGTGGAACTCAGCCCCCAGCCTGCCTTCATTCAACGCCTCCCGTGGCTCTGCACGCGCTTGGGAAGGGGCTGCTCCAAGAGGGGGTGTGTGCGGGTTTGGGGACAGAATGTGCCCCCCCCAACTTCAAATGCATCACCCAGAGAGGAAAATTGAAGCAGTACAGGGGCTGCTCGGCTCACACTCACCCCCAAACCTCAAAGCAGCTGCACTGGAAGGTCCCAGAAAAGTCACCAAAAAGCACCAAGAAACCCCCAGCGCCATCCCCTGGGTGGACGCGGCACACACCGGGCTCCTTTCATGTCTTTAATAGAAACGGCCACGGGAGAACCACATGTTGCATAGCCCTGAGTGTGCAAGCAGCCCCGCAGCCCAACCGTCAGCACCAGTGGCTTGTAGAAAACAAACAGCATCTCTGCATAGAACTCTCTGTATAGAATAAATACTCTCTCTCCCAACAGTCCCTTGGCCCTGCAGACCCCCTGCTTGCTCCCAGTAAGGCGTGGGCTGAAAGGCACAGGGCCAAGGGTGCAGATACTCAGCACAGCACAGCCAGGTGCAAAGTGATCCCTGAGTGGGATGCACCCAGGGCTGGTACTCAGCTGTAGGATGCTCATAGTGCAGGCATGCCCTGATTTTAGGCACCCCATTGCATGATGATCCCAGCACAGGTGGTGATGGATACCCTGATGCAGGATGCTGCTGGCGCAGGGATGCCCTGCTTCCAGATAGCCCAGAGCTATCAGCACCCAGATGCTCCCAGCACTGTGCACCCAGCCCCAGGATGCTGATGACGCAGGGATGCCCTGACTGCATATAGCCCATGGCACAATGATCCCAGTGCTGGGCACCCAGGTGCAGGATGCTGCCGGCACAGGGATGCTTTGTTTGCAGATACCCCACTGCACAATGCTCTTGGTGCTGGACGCTCCTAGAGCCATACATGCAGCTACGCAATGCTCCAGGTTCTGGGTACCCAGGTGTGAGATGCCCACAGTGTAGTAATGCCCTGACCCCACAGCACAATGCTCTGGGTGCCACCCACCGCCAGCTCAGCCCCACAACCATCCCTGCCCCTCCTCAGAAGCTGGACTCAGGCACAGCCCCGTGCTGCAGGGTCGCCGTGCGCTCCCTGCCCCGTATCCCCGCAGTGCCCCCTGCGCCCCGGCCCAGTGATGCTGAGCGCCGCATGGGGTGTGGGGGCCGTGGGGGGAGGCAGGCTGAGCTCTGCGAGCGCCGGATGATCCCATCAGGGCTGTGGGGGCCATGCTGTGCCCGAGGGGTGCCCTCCTGCCGCACCCGGGGGGGTCCTGTCTCCTGCTCGCCACTCTGCGGGGGGCTTTTGGGGCATGAGATCCCAGTAGGGCCGGCACTGTGGGCCCGGCGTGGTGTTGGGGTGCAGTGGGGGGGCTCTGTGCTCTGTGTGCTGCCTGCAGCGTCACCCAGCACGGCGTTCTGCTCTACACGGGGGCTGCCCCCACCTACCGGCCCCATTGGGATGTATGGCTGCAGCTGCCCGGGGGCTGCCCGCAGGCGCGAGGCGAAGGACCACCGCAGGGGTACAGCCCTGGGGGGGGCCCTGCAGCGGGTGGGAGGTGGCAGTTTGACACTGAGGCTGCGGCTCTGCACCCCCCGCACTGGTGGCCGGGCCTCAAAGCCACCTGCAAGGAGAGAGAATGAGGGAGGTGGGGGGTGGGTGCGCGGGGGCTGCTGCGGGGTTCGGGGCGAGGGGGGGGGGGGGCTCACCTTGCTCCTGTGCAGTGCTAAGGTCCGGGCTGCAGGGTGGGGAGGGGCGGGGAGCTGCAGGCTGGGATTCTGCGCTGTGCTGCTTGGTGCCCCCCAGCCGGGCCGCCCAGTGGTTCAATGGGGCTGAGCTGCTGCTGCCTGCGGGGAGCAGGGGCTGCAAGGGGGGCACAGTGCCAGGGAGCGGGGTTGGGGGCTGCTAGGGGGTGCCGCAATGCGGGAGCTGCAGTGAGCAGTGTGCATATGTGGGCATGCAGGGGTGTGCACAGAAGCATGGGGATGTGTGCAGGGTCTGCACAACGCTGTGCATGCTGATGCACAGCAGCATGTGTGTGCATGGAGCCGTGCTGCATGTGAACGCAAGCCTGCCTGCTGCACTGCCCGTGGATGGCAACACACAGGTGTCCAGTTGCACGCATGTACCTGCATGCAACTGTGCTGTGAGAGCATGCATACATCTTGAGTGCACGTGTGTGCAGCCAGCAGTGCCGCGTGCAGGCACATCGTGCTGTGTGTGTGCGCATGCTTTTGGCTGTGCTCTGCATGCAGCGTGCCTGCCCTGCGGGTGCTGCCAAGGTGGTGACAGCGGGGTGACACTGCTCACCTCTGGCAGCACTGCTGGCTGACCAGGCAGGGATGGCGTTGCGGCGCTGGTAGAAGAGGATGTAGGCGCTGCGGGTGCTCACCTCGTCCTCCCGCACCCCCACCACCGTGCTGTCATCATAGCTGTACCAGCGTCCGTCCAGGGAGTTGCAGCAGTATGCTGGGGCAGGGGTGAGGGAGGGGTAGCAGGGGGCAGGGCCCCTCGGGTCACCCCTCCCCACAGCAGAGATAGAGCCCATCATGCTGCTCTGACGCCCTGCACATCCCTTGCAATGCCCCCGGCCCCATGCTCTTCCCCACTGCACACCCTACTCCATAGCCCCCCACACAACACATTTTATCCCACTATTCCCATGCAGCACCTTGTGACACCCCATGTCCTCACCATGCAGCCCAGCCTCACGCCCCTCCCCCATTGACTGTTCTCATGCAGCACAACCCCAGCCCCAAGCCATACCCATGGCACTCTCCTTTCAGCAACCCCCAGTCCCACACCATACCCCACTGCATAACCCCATACAGCACCCCTAGCCCCACACCTCTTGGCTGTGCCATGCTCCCCGCCCCACAGCACCCCTCGCTCACCAGTGTAGTGCCCACCCTGCATGCTGCCATGGTGGTTGCAGACGGCGTAAAGGTCATACAGAGCATCCGGGGGGCAGCTCCGGGGCGGGCGCAGGGAGTGCTGCCATCGTCCCCCCCCAGGGGCCAGATGTGGGGCCATGTCCAACCCACGCAGGGGGAAGCGCACCAGTGTGCTCAGCTTGTGGCGGCGCTGGGCAACCTGGCGAAAGCGCTTCAGGTGGATGATGAGGATGTCAGGCAGCGTCCAGAGCCGGAGCTGCACTGTGCCCTGCTGCAGGACCCGGCAGTGCGGGCAGCGCCATGCGTCATCTGGTGCCAGCTGGAGGCACGTATGTGAGCATCACAAAACGAGTGTGTTTCCTTCCCCCCCAGCACCGCAGGGTGTGAGGCTTTTTGGGTGCGCCCACCTGCTCCTCCTTGGTGTAGAGCTGGAAGCACTCATCCAAAGTGCAGCTGTGCTGCTGGTGTGCCGCCTGCTGCAGCCGCACGCTGTCCGCATCCTGCACCGCCTCCTGCTGCATGCTGCCGAAAAGCCTGAGGGGTGGGAGGTGAGGGGGGGGGTCAGGGATGGAGCATGGGGCTGTGGTCCCCCCCAGTGCTGCACTCACCGCTCCTTGGTGCTGATGTCCCACTCCACTGTCAGCGCTACGTGGGGGGGTCCACCAGTAGGGCTCTGCTGCAGCGCCCTGAGTGCCCCAAAGGGAAAGGGACGTGTGGAGTGGGGCCACCCCATCCCTGCAGGGCTGTGGGGTGGCCCCCCCTCACCTGTCAATGGCCGCGTGGCACAGGGGGTGCGGGTCCTGTGGGGAGAGGTAGGCACTGGGCTCCCCAGCCACGTGGATGCGGAATTGCGGCGCCGTGCCCTGCAAGACAGCACGGTGAGGGGACATAGGGATTCTCAGATCCCTCAGGGGAAGCGTCCTCATCCTGGGATGCCAGTGCCAGCAGGGCCGGAGCACTATCTCACACCTCAGTGTCCCCACGTGACCTCAGTTCTGCTCTTGTACCCATGGTGGGGACACCCACAGGGACAGGGATGGGGCTGCAGTGTGTGATTCATTGTGGGCTCCCCTCAGCTCTGTGGATACCTTGGTGGCGGTGGCACCCACGTGACAAGGATGGGTGACACTGCAGCCACATCCAGTGACTATGGCCAACCAGGGCAACAGGGACGTCACTCACAGGGACACCATGGCCACTGGTGGGGTCACTACAGCCCCCCACAAGGACAACCCATGGGGACACCCACCTGCACGGCGCTCCTCATCATGCCGCACAGCGGGGCCAGCACATCACGCTGCAGCTGTGCCCAGGAGGCACCGCGCTCCGCCCACAGCACCAGCGGTGGTCCGAACCTGGGGACATGGGGATGTGGTTGGGGGCATGGGGACATGCAGGGGGGCCGTGTGCGGGGCAGGGCAGGGCGGTACCTGGCGCGGTGCGGACCGGTGCCCGCCACGTGGCACAGCAGCAGCAGCACGGGGTGGGCGCCTGCGGGCAGAGGGTGAGCGCGGTGCGGCCATGCCCGTGGGAACCCCCTGGGGGGAGGGATGGGGACACCGGGGTGACACGGAGGGCGTGGGAAAATTCCCGCCAACGGCTCCGCCAATCGCAGCGCGAGGGGTGAGGTTCCCACCAATCACAGCAAGACAGACACCTGCCTCCCACCAATCATAGCGTGAGGGACAAGGTTCCTACCAATCACAGTAGAGGAGGAGAAAGGTGCCACCAATTGCAGCAGAGCATGCACCTGCTTCCATCCAATCGCGACAAAACACACCTCCCTCCCACCAATCACAGCAAACAGGGCACAGCTTCCACCAATCATTGGGAAGGGGGCACAGATGCCACCAATCACAGCACAGCACACCTGCCTCCAACCAATCACAGCAGTGGGGCTGGAGTCTCCCACCAATCCCAGCAGGGCAGACACCTGCTTCCCACCAATCCCAGCACAGCACACCTGCCTCCCACCAATAGCATGAATAGGACGGGGACAGGACTCCCAGCTGTTACCAGTAGGATGCCACCAATGCCACCAGCCCCACATAATGTCCAGTACCTGCAGGGGTCTCTGGGGGGGCCTGCAGGGCATACAGGGGTGCCTCTTGCCCGGCTGTACTCAGCTCCTCGGTGTCATCCAGCGAGCGCAGGAAGCCCTGTGGGGACACCTCGGCCAGGATCACCTGTGGGTGGCATGTGGTACATGGCGCTGGATGTGGCACATGGCACACAGTGCAAATACATGGCACACAGCACACGGTGCAGTACGCAGCGTGGCACATGGCACAGCACGTGGTGCATGGCACATATGGCACAGCACATGGTGGGGTAGATGGCACAGAACATGGCACGCAGCATATGGCACAGCATGGCACAAGGCAAGGCACAGCACAGCAGATGGCACAGCATACAGGTACATGGCATGGCGCACAGCATAACACACAGTGCCCAGCATGGCACATGGCGTTGTACAAGGCCCAGCTCCTAGCACAGCACGGCACACGGGCTCTGGGTGCCCCCCTGTTACCTGCTGGGGTGGTAAATCCCCCTCCTGTGCCACCATCTCACGCAGCTCTGCAGCTGTGCCCAGCAGTGGCACCGCCAGCCCCACGCGCAGCGAGCGCCCGCCCTCGCGCTGCGGCACCAGCGTCACATTCAGTGCCCTGGGGACATCACGATGAGGATGTCATGTGTGCCCCAGGTGTGGTGGTACCAGCATGCATCCCTCCTTACTGGGCACCGCCACCTCCAGCGCTCTGAGTTCTCCCCATATGGCACAAATGGCTCTTTTGGGAGCCGGATGCCCCAAGTGGTGCTGGCCGTCCCCTCACCACACGCTCACCTGGTCTGGCGCACGGGGATGGGCAGCGAGATGCACAGGAATGGGTCGAAGGTATTGCTCTGCTTCCGGCAGTGCGGGCACGTTAGGGAAGACCTGCACGCATGGGCACGCCGATGGCACACCTCTGAGCACCCATGTGGGGCATAGGGACACGTCCCTGGGGGCTGGGTGGCCACAAGGCAAAGCCACATCCTACAGTGTGCTCCTGGCACGAGGCACAGCCAGCAGCTGTTCACTGTGAGCCCTACTGCACAGCCATGCAGGGACGTGGCTCAGTACTGTGTCACCCACAGCAGCGCTGGGCACAGCTCAGCCCCCCTCCCAACACCACAGGGCTGCATCCTGCCCACAGAGCTCACCTGTACTGTGCCTGGAAGTGGCTCTGCACAAAGCTCTCCCCACTGGCACCACTCTGCTCCGCACTGCGCTGTGGGGACACAGAACAAATGGGATGAGCCAGCATAGCCCTCACAGTCCCCAGCATCCTCAGGCATTGCTGTGGGGTCCCCATGGGCTGCATGGCATGGGGAATACACCCAGTCCCACTGTGTTCAGTCTCCTATCCTGTGAAATGGGTGCACTTGGGGCAAACATAACCAACACACACCAGCACTGGGATGGGGAATACCAGGAGGTGCTGTCAGAGAAGGACCAGGCTGGTTTTGGGGGCAGGAGTTTTTCAGCGTTGCAGTGAACAAGCCTGAAAATATTTGGAAGGGACAATGATTCTCCCGGTGCCATCTGCTGGCACTGGGTCCTGCTGAGTCTGACATGTCCTCGCAGTCTGCTGGGGACCAGAGCCCATCTGCTGTGTCAGAGGGGGGCTGGGGGAGGGAACTCAATGTATTCTGTGCCTGTGCACCCTGCAAGACCCCAAACCTCCCCACATCCCCCAGGGACTCCTCCTCCTGGAGTGCCCCCAGCAGATCCAACTTGCAGCCCGCAGCACGTAGATCTGTCCTGCCAGGACACGGCCTGGAAGGAGGAGAGATTCTCTTTCATGGAGCTGGATCTGCCCAGCTGGGCGGGGTGCCGCCGGGGCTGCCCCAGCTCAGAGGGGAAGGACCTGGATGCTCTGCCCCCTCCCCCGGAGACACCCACCTGGTGGGCAGCGCGGGGTCCCGGTGCGGGCGAGGCGCTGCCCAGGTCCTCGTGCATGCGGTCCAGCAGCCACAGCAGGAACTCGAGGGCGTCGTGCTGCGCGTTACCGCGGAACTGCGCGCCGTGTTTGGCCACGATGCTCTGCGGGGCACAGCAAGGCAGCGGGACGGGGATGCTGCGGCCGGGCATCGGAGCCGCATCTCCACCGAACGCACCGCCCCGTGCCTCAGTTTCCCCCTCCATGGAGCGCAGATTCCCCTTCGGGGTTAGCGGAAAGTCCCCCAGCGCTCCCAGCTCGGTACAACGCGCGGGAGGATCCCGCACACGCGATGCCACCGCCGCCCGCCCCGCCGCGCAACTGCCCGGGGAGCGCTCCGACCCCACCCGGGTCAACTCGGAGCCCGGAGCGGCCGTACCTGGAACTCGGCGGAGAGCCGCGGGGTATATTCCAGACTCCAGAGGGCGCGGACCAAAGCCGCCAGGCGGTGCGTGACCTCAGCGCGGGCCCCGCGGGCTCGGTAGCGTCCGAGCGCCAGGAACTCGGCGAGCGGGGCGGTGTTGCTGAGGCACTGCACCACGGCGTTCATGAAGCACGTGTTGCCGTGGTTCCGCAGCCCCTGCGCGCCGGGCGGTCGCGCCCCGCTCCCCGCCGCCCCGACACCGCCGCCCCGCGCCGTCTCCCTTCTCCCCGCGCTCTCGAAGCCGCCCTCGTCGTCCTCGTGCTGCGGCCGCCGCCGCCGGGCGCTCCGATCCCCCCGTCCACCCGCCAGCCGCGCCCAGGCTCGCAGCAGCCGCCCCGCCAGCCCTCCCAGCCCCCCCAACCCCCGCAGCGTCCGCCGCCGCCCCCCGACCCCGCGCCGCCGCCGCCCGGGGCCGCCCCACGCCGCGCTCATGGCCCCGGGCGGCCCCCGCCCCGATCCGGCACCGCAGCGCCGCGCATGGCTCCGGGCGGCCGCCGGGTGCCCGCTGGGTGCCCCCCGCCGGTGCGGGACCGGCGGTTTTGTGAACGCGGGCGGCTCCTCCCCCGGTCGGGCTGGACCCGGGGAAGGGACGGGGAAAGCGGCGAGGAGGAGAAGGAGGAGGAGGAGGAGGGGGAGGAGCGTGGGGCTCCTGTTGGACCTCAATTGGCCTCAGCCCATCGATCAGTCCGTGCGGGGAGGGCCGTACCTGCGTGATCCCCGCCGCTGTGGGCGCGGGTGGGAGGGAAGCGCAGAGGGAAAGCGAGGGCACCGGGAGGGGTGGGTGCCGGGGAAAATTCTTCTCTGAAAGAGTGGCGATGCGTTGGCACAGCTGCTCAGGGAGGGTGCAACTTCCTCCTGTAGAAGACACCTCGCTCACTCTCATCCGTCTAATTAAATTATAGACAGCACACTAAGTTATTTAGTGCCCTCATTAAAGATGGATGGGCGCTGACTTGTTAGGAACATGCTGGCAGAGCGGCAGCGCTGAGGCAGGTGAGCGAGTGCTGCTGTGCCAGGGAGCACCACGCTGCTCCCTGCTCCATTGGTTCCCAACATGAGAGCTGAGCAGAGAGCTTCGTGTTGCTCCCAAGCTGTGCTTTGCTTGCAGCAGTTTTGCTGTGCTCCAGCAGCAGGGTGCTCACCACACACCTGCAGCACCCCGAGGCACCGAGGGATCTGCAGCTCAATGAATGCTACGAGGTTATTTCAGGTGCTGGTGTGCTGAGAACACACACTGAGGAGCTGTTGTGCTGGGGTGGAGAGAGGCAAGGATGGTGATGGGAGCACTTCTGTAGGGCTGAAGGCCCACAGTGCAGAGGAGATGGCAAAATTCAGAGTGGCACGGAGCTGTGATTGCAGCATCCATCCCACTGCTGAACATCTGGAGCCCTACAGCCACCTCCTCCTGGCCCAGCGCTCAGTGCTGATGGCACCATTCCACAACAACCTGCTGCTGGGTCTGCTTAACGCAACCATCGCTTTGTTTTAGATGGAAAAAAGCTGTTTTCCGAACCCCAGCGTGCGTTTCATTTTCACCACTCATTCCCTGCGTACCCTTCTGCCCTCCAGGGACAGCACCTTCACTCCATTTTCACATCACAGGGCTCTGTCACAGCAGAGCGCAGCACGATAGCGTGCCCACGCGTTGCTGCTTCTCTGCCTTCCTGCTGCTGCTGCTGCTGCTCCTGCCAGGAACGCAGCAGTGCAGGGGAGAGATGTCAGCAGCATATGCAGTGTGTGTGCAAACAGAGCTGCTGGCACCGACACCTCTGGGCTTTGCTGATGTGATGGGAGCAGCTCTGCTTGCCTCTGCCACACTGGGTAACAGCAGTGCACTCACTCTAAGCATCAGAGATCTCCATCGCTCACAGGGCCGTCCTTCATCACTGATGACGGTGTAACGAATGGAAAATAATTGCTTTGCTGAAGTGAGAGTGACCTGTGACTCCTGGGGAGCTGGCAAGGCACAGCCCTGCCCTGCTGGGCTCCCCATCAACTGCTGGTGTGGGCTGGGGCTGGCACAGCAGCAACCCAGGCTGCTCCTGGCTGGGCAGAGAGGACATGGGTTGCTGGGCTGCCTGCCTGGCTCCCACACACAGCTCTGTTTTCATTCTCCTACACAAGCACAAATGTTTTGCCTGTCCATCCCACATTCCAGCGGTTTGATCCTGCCTTCCAAGCCACACTGAGCGCTGCCACAGAGCTTGTAAAACCTGCTGGAGTGTTTACAGCTGCATAGCAACGAGCCTCCAATCCAGAGAAAAAGAGGAAGGAATGACTTAATTCCTTTGCTCCAGACTCTGTTAATAAGAGCAGGGATATTTCAAGCAGAAGGAATAAATGGGGAGGTTGGTAGCCCTGCCTGTGGGAGGGGAGTTGGAGATTCATGATCCTTGAGGTCCCTTCCAAGCCGGGTCATTCTGTGATTCTGTGAGCTGCAGTGTTTGATGGGAACATCAAACACCCCAGAGCCAGAGCAGAGGGGTGTGCTATGAGCAGCAAACATTTGTTGTGGCATAGAAAGAGTGACAAGCAACCCTACTTTTCAATGCCCATCCCCCTCTGCATACCAAAACAGCTAATGAAATCAATCTGGGTATGACAGTACCTAAATGAAATATTAGTTAACTTAAGTCTCTGTAAGCCTTAACGTTAGGAATCCAACATTTTGAACACTTTTCATTTATGACTCAACTCCTGCAGGCCATCAGTGCATGCGAAAGAAATATTTACTCTATTGGCATCACTTCATAAAGCGGCTGCCTGCACTGATCTTCGAGCAAGCCGTACCATCAGAGCTGTCAGTTACAGCACTAGACATGATACGTGTTTTGTCCCAGCGTGAGGATCTGGTATTTCATGCATATTTGGAACCCATTTGGAAAATTAGGGCAATGACCAGGAATTTGCATGCGTCCAGCTGGCATTGCTGGAAATAGCTGTGCTCTCACTCTTGGAAATCAGGCCTCTGAACAGAGCTTAAAATCAGGCACTGCAAATGAAGAAGACCCAAAGACCCCAAATTCCTTTGAGAACATTGATTTAAGAGCTTGACTCAAAAGAGTTTCATAGTCAAACAGTTGAGCAGGAGCTGAGGGCTTTTTCCTTAATCAGGACAAATTAAAACAAACACAGAAGACTGAATTTACACAACAAGTTGTTCATTACGGAAAGGGACAGAAAGGCACTGGGAGGAGAGGAGGGAGGCAGCACGCACAGATGAGCGGCCATATGAACAAGAGCAGACTGGGGGGCTGACAGGGAAGGTGGCAGTAACCAAACAGCAGTGCTGTGACAGCCTGGGATTGTCAGAAGTGGTGACAACTTCCCCTCCAAACTACGTGGAATATGAAATTAGCCTCCCTGCTAAAAATCAGCCCTGTATGTTCAGTGTTAGAAAGGATATCTGGAAGATCCAGTAAACTCATACCAGAGAGTAGAAAAAAAAAAATATCTCCTCTAATACTAAAAGTGCTTTAAGAACATCAGCTCTGAGAAGAAAGGACTTTCAGGGCTGGCTTAGGAAGCAGCAGCTCCTGTGCCAGTGTCAGGGACAGCCGGGTACTTCCAGAGCAGGATGGCACCATCTGCACTCACACTCACGATGTACTTCTTCCCAGGGCAGATCTTGAGACGGGTGATGTTGCCACTATGGCCCACTCCAATGTGAGTCACTGTCCCCTCGTTGTAGTCCCACATTTTCACCAGATGGTCATCACCACCTGCATTGGGCACAAAGGAAGAATGAAGGATTGCACAGAGCCCTGCTGCTTTTTGTTGCTAACTGACAGGCAGAGAACACTTGGGCATTCTCTGATGGAGGAAGGATGGGATGTGCTGTCTTAAGCATTATAGCAAAGCCTACTTCTGTTCAGCTGAAGCAGAGGTGGTGGCAATTAGGCCACTCAGGCCAGGCACCAGCAGCTCTCTCTAAGCTCTGAACAGCAATTGCTACCAGTGTGGCAGGTCTTCCAAAGGCCCTTCACCAGCAGTGCCACCCTGTTACCTAAAGGTTGCTGGCTTAGCTCAGTGTGCACAACAGCATGGCTCTGTGCTAGCAGTAAGCTCCCAGAAGAGATGTCACCATGGTTGGGAATGTGTGAGCCTGAGGCTGAATGGAGCCTGGAGCCATGTGTACCAGGAAACCAACAGTGCCAGCAGGACACCTGGAAAAAAGCAGTCAAGTGCACTGCAAACATGATGAAAACAAATGAGGAGCAGGGCAAAGCGTAGCCCTGCGCTCCCTTGGGAACATTCAAACCTTGTCTTCACCTCTGAATTACATCTTGCAAGACTGAACCAGGTCTGGATCACAGCCTCTTCCTAAGTATTTTTCTGCAGCGATTTGTTTTATTCTGTGTTTCAGATGAATTTTCTTTTGTATTTTTTTATTATTTTATCAAGGCTCTTCTTGCCTTGCCTTGCTTTTCTTGGTCTTAATACAGCCTCCTCTTTCCTAGTTTCATCACTCACCTGTGACAAAGTATGCCCCATCTGACGTGATGTCCATCCCATTGATGGAACCTGATAGCGAGCCTTCCAAATCTCTGATAGCAGAGCCATCATACACTTCCCAGTATCCAATCTAGAGAGCAGACAAGAGACAAGTTCAGTTGTGCATAAACAGCATGAAGATGTCGATGCTGTCCTACAAACTTCTTCAGAAGTACAGGAGCTTCATCACGAGCCTCTGCTTCCCTAGGAAAGCTTCCCTAGCTGGCACAGCTTGGTCTGATGGCAGCCTTGTGTGATTATGAAATGTCCATAACCAGATGTTGTGTTCTGCAATGACTACCAAAAGAACTCCTGTAGTTTGACTTACCTTCCTGTCCGTCCCACTGGTGATTAGCTGGTATTCTTCAGGATGGTAACACACACATTTGAACAATGTGTTGGCCAGAATCATTTGTTTTCTTGTAAAACGCCTGCAACACAGCCCAAACCAACAGAAAGCAATAAGGCCAAAACCCAAACTTTGACTGCCTGCACTCTCTCTACTTGTGCTGTACATCAGATGTCTTTCTACCTGAACGTTAACAGACTTTAGCATAAGTTCAGGGCTTCACAATACCTATCAGGGTCATCAGCTCTGATCCCCACCATGGCTTTCTCACGGGACTTTTGATCTGCTATCACACAAAACAAAGATTTTTAATCTGGATTGCTTTCTAGGTGCTATGCAAAAAATGTCCTTGTCCCTATCACAGTGCAGAACAACTGCACTATCAGACATCTGCAATAGCTTGTCAAGAATCACACAGTGCTGAAAAACAGAGCCAGGGAATCATCATCTGCTCCATCCCCTCGGCTGACCTGGATCTGATACAACAGAACAACTCGGGACCAGTGCTTGTCTAAACTGCTCTGAAAAGTTTCCAGTGTTGGAAGTTCCACCTTTCCCGACTGATTGTTCTTTCTCATAATTTTAATTC